AAATATATATATATGTATGTATAATGATACAACTATTACTATTATTAAAGTGACATATACAATTATTACCACAAACATGCTTACAGTGTTTTTCGTTATCTCGATAAAATTATAATCATCTAGATGATGAAATGACTCTACCTTATCTTTATCTTAATTAAAAAAATGTTATCTTTTTCAAATTATCTAAGATTATACAAGAGTATTATAAGAAATTAACTTCCAATAGTATAATAGTAATGATGAGTGAATGATATTTTTTTTCGTTCTATAGACAAAAAAATTAGATTAGAGCGACACCAGTCATTTAAAGATATATTGAAGTATTTTGATATTTAGAAAATAAATCTAAGGAAATAGATATTCTTAATTTGTATTCACACGTCAAATAAATTATTTTTAAGTATAACTCATTATTGCCATCATCAGTGCCAGTAGAGAGTCTCTTTATAGTTGTAGACAATAAATATTAATTCGCACGTAGAAATCGTTTAACAGACGAAATGTTCAAACAACTTTTGTGTTCTTAAAAAAGAAAGATTTATAAAAATATGAAATTGCATTTTTTGTATTCTAAGTCGTTTTACTACCTAATAATTACTTAAAAATAAAATTATCTTATAAAAATTATCTAAATAAAATTTTTTTAAATTTTATCTTTTATCTATATTAATGTAAAGTTAATCATTTTGATCTTATATTTTTGTGTGATTTATCTTATCTGTATCTAAATAATTTTTAATTATCTAAGCGCAGCACTGTATGCTTATATTAAATGCACATTTCCAAAATGTAATAGCGTAAAAATATTCATTACACAACGCATGTGTTTACACTTTTCGACATACCTTGAAAGAATAAAACGCATTTCCTAACCAATAACGAGTTCTTTCTCTTCGGTCACAACTGTTGGCGCATCTGCTTTTCGTTGTACGTTGAACAATACCGACAGCTTTAGTGGTACACACGAGTCCGCTGTGCAAGCCATTATGTTTAATGTGACAGGCAATTGATTGCACGTTTCTTCTTCAGGAAGTTTCACCGATATAGGAGTCGAAAGTCTACCCGTCAATGATTTCGCCGTCCATGTATTTGCAGGTAAAGACACCTGCCATTCTTGTGGTGCGCCTGCATTTAATTTCAAATCGTTCGAAAATACGATATTAAATGAAATATTTAGTTCTCCACCGCGTGCATTCACTGTTGTATCAAAAGTGAATACACTGTCGGTGTTTCTATTCGAGTCACGTCTGGATACGATAGGCATCTGAAAAATAAAATTAAGGAAGTTTATGTTAATGTTGCGTGATTCATAAAACAAAGTTACATTTTAAAAGCGATTCTATTAGACTCCTAGAAATATATACTCACGGTTGAAATCTTCTCATTTTTTAGATCAATAATTTTAAGCGCGTGATTGTTGGTATCTGCTACATAAAGAATATTACCGTTTGGACTAACAGCAAGATCACTCGGTTCATCGAACTAAAAGATTATTTTTTACAATTTAAATAATTTTTGCAAACATTTTTGTATGAATTATTCTCTTCAAAAAAATATATTTACGGTAAATGTACGATCGGGTTTTCCGTCGCCAAACAATGTCTTGCAATGCCCCGTTGTAGTATCTACGCTTTTAATTTTATGATTGTAAGTATCGGCCACATAAATTCGTTTATCCAAATGATTCCACGTTACACCTAATGGATGTTGAAGTTTAGCCAAATGTCCTTTTCCGTCTGCATCTCCAAAAGCATATAAGTTCTACAATGCAAAATGATTCTAAAAATTTTGATAAAATAAACATCACATTGTGATTTACTGCTGTTATTCGAACGAAAGTTGACGTTTGCTTACGTATCGAACAAATTGATTAAAGCTAAGTCGTATACACAATGCAAAGTGAGAAAATAAATGAAAACTATTTGTTATTGAACGAACCGTTGGATTTTTATCTCCTCCACAAACAGCGGATACTTGTCCACTATCTAAATGCAGCCGTCTGATAGTACTGCTTTCACTGTCCGCTAAAAACGCAACTTTACATTCCTGAACAACCGCAATGCCAGAGGGTTGTGCCAGTGCCGCGGCATGAGGATAAGTATTGTTGCGATTTTCCTCTTGTCCATTTCCAACGATAGCAGCGCATGTGCCCGCCGGGTATTTTCTAAAATACAAACATTATATCTAGGTAAATTACGAGAAATAAAAATTCATTATTAAATTAAATATTTAAAAAAAATCACACTTAAAACGTAACGTGAAAGATGTTGTATTAATTATGTAAATAATATCTCACTTTTCCTTCCACCAAATGGTATCTTCCAAAAACAGCGCCCAGATTTGATGGGTACCCGCTATGACGATTAACAAGACTGGCACCGTAGTGTCTTTATACTTGTGATGATAAATTGCCACATCCCAAGGGGACGATAAAGCTTGATCAGTGCCGTGTCTTCCACCAACTCGATCGCAACCTTGTGAACCGGTACCAGCTATGGTGGATACGATTCTTTTTTCCAGGTCTATCTAAAACGAGATTAACACCGAGATTAAATATAGCTAATCAACGTTGTGGTATAATAAAAACTAGTACTTTTACTTACTTTTCTAATAGCATGATTATTATTGTCCGCAACGTAGATTATATCATTCAGCACACAAACCCCTTGAGGTGAATTGAATCTAGCATTTTTGAAATCACCATCTTTAAAACCCTGATTGTATCCACCTATAACATGTTCCACTCTCCCGTGCTCATTTGTAATTACAATCCTATTGTTACCGCTATCAGATATAATTAGCTTCGTTTCTTGCTCCAACTGAAAAATCGTTAGTTTGCCAGGAAATAGTAGACCGTCTTTAGAAGATGGTAAAAGATGATGCGCTGGCTTCAATGGAAGACTATGATCTGATATTTGGTTGAAAGATTTGAAATAAGCTATTGCTACTTTTGTGTACGATAGTATTTCATCTTTGTGATTTTCACCCACAAAAACAGCCAGTGGTTGATTATGAGGTCCTAAAATAAATTTAGACACAGCTGTGACGATAGGAAATTCATATTTGATATCGTTGTGTTTTATACCTAACATAACTAGGGTAGGCCAACACGTTATTCCCATGTCATGCCACATTCTTAATGTTACATCATTTACCACAGGATGCATGATATTATATCTCTGCACAGCAGATAAGACATTCTTTGAACTGCGCTCGTTTGAAAATTTTGCGCTATGCACTCCGATCTAAATAAAAGAATCATTAGTCTCAGAGACAAAATCTTATCTAAATCTTTAATTTCTAGGATTTCTTTTCTGTAATAAAATATGTTATACTTACTACCACGAGACCATCCTCTACAGAGACTTCTTTCTCGATTTCTTCCAGGTCAGTCAAAACATGCATGCAATTGATGCAACAATATGTAAAGAAGTCCAAAAGCACGATTTTTCCTTGTAGATGTTGCTCCAGTGACAATCCCTCGGACACGTTAAACCATTCCAAGCCTACATAATATATATATTAATTAAAAATTATAACGATAATTATTAGCTATTTTTCCGCAAACAATTATCCATTTATTTCCAATTATAGCTTTCTGCAAATACCTAAGTAGAACTACTAAGAACTGCTTGTTATAATAATATTAAAATAAATTGTTACTAATTGAAAAATAACCTTCAATAATCATTTTTAAACCATTTGACATCATTGATATTATAATGACTTAACTGTATTCTGCTTAGGTAAATACTGAAAATTAATCTACAATGGCCATGACAATCGTTAACCATTTTTTTCTGCAACACATAATCGTTATTTATTTCTAATTAGCTAATTAGCTATATATATTAAAGTGGAACATGAGAAATTTTATCGAGTTCCAAACTAGTTATTTTACCTTTTGGAAAATCCTGAACTGCTCCGTGGTTTTTAAACTGCTTGATGTACTGTAGGATCAACATTTCTTTTTTCTCCTCTTCAAAATAATTCAGATGGAAACGCACCTGACTGCAGATATACGTTAAGTCCACCACTGCTTCTTTCGTTTCTTTGACGCTACTCATTTTTTTGTCGCTACTCATTTTTTTGTTTACTAGTCCGCACATCGAACGACAGTATAGACAATTAGAAATTAGACATAGAATTCTTCCAACAACTCGAGAGAACGTTTAATTGTTACACACGCACTTGCAACATCAATTCGGAACGTCACTCTCTCTCACTCTTCTTGAGATAGTCTGACGACTACTCTGTCTGACGTAGCCCATCGCAGTCTGCGATGCAGACACCTCTTTCTTCTTAAAATTTATTGGCCTGACAGGCTGAAACTTGGCCACTGAAGTTTGCGTAAATTAGAGGTTGTGTAGTGTGTGCAAGGCACCTCGAAACCAGAGGCGGATACAATGGATAATGCGATAAAAACGAAAATGATGCGCCCTCCAAATATTGGATGCCTGCGGTCTCAGTGCACGTAAAACGTTCTCCGCGCGTCCAGACGAGTGAAGGACTTCCAATAAATTGAAAACAAAGGCACGGTCAAAGGCAACACTTTTCAAAAATATTAATCGAGGTGACGTAATATCCGAATCAGAACGAAACACGTCTGATTCCTTCGAGGGGCGTCACAAGACTCCACTTGCAGACACCGAATGACGCTATTGATCTTGGACAACCTTGGAGAAAGAGATCAGCGAGGAGGGAGAGATTTATGTTTGTTCATTGTGTCATCGAAGTCCAATTAAATACATTATCCGTTACGTTATCAATTTAACGTAATCATATTATCAATTGTTAATTTACACTCTTTCGCACACGTGGTCATTAACATATGAGCTTAGCAGAGCTCGCAGTGTCACGAACGCAGCTAGGTTCTGTTGTGAGTGTATTTTTTTCACGGACTGATGGATATGGCAGACTCGAAACCAAATGACGAATTGGACTGGGTGAAAATACGTGAAGATCTAGATAGCGATTATATTACCGAGACGTTTTTAGAGAAGGCGAAACGTAAAACGCGAGAAAATCCGCTGGTACCATTAGGTAAACTAACCTATATTCCGCGAACAGAGATAAAATTTGTGTAACAAGAAGCTGCGGAGATGTAGCTAAGAAAACAGGAAAAAATAATAGAGAAACTAGAGACTTGAACAATATTCAAATCTAAATTAGATTTGTACGTTGTAACAAAAAGAACCGCGTTTGACTGAGTTTGATTAGTCGTCCCCTTAATGTAATGCTTTTTTTTGCACATTTGTATTTCTAGGAACGTTGGCGACTGTTGCAGCCTTAACTTATGGACTCACGAGCTTTTATAAGGGAAAAAGGGAAATGCAACAGTACATGATGCGTACGCGTGTTGCTGCTCAAGCATTTACTATTGTCTGCATAGTTGCAGGATTTATCCTGCTGCCCAAGTCAAAGTGAAATTATAATATGTTGATTTGATTCAACGCCAAGTTTCTACTATAGTAGATTAGGCTTGTCTATGTTGTGTTGATATTGTAAAGATATTTTTACATTATAAAAATGTATCTAATTGTCATTACTGATAATAGTTGTAAACAGATATTTTCATAAAAAAAAATATCCTCTTTAGTTTTTCATAGAAAAAAGTAATATTGCAATAAATTGTATTGAAATCTACCTAAATCGCGCGTGCAAATAAAATATAAACCATCGATACAAATACAAAAATTACAGGGTTCTTGGAAAAGTAAATTATATTTAGGTAACTATATTTATATAGTTATATATATTATTACATTAAATATATACCATACATATAAATATATATGCAAATCTTCTTACAGCCATTCTAAATATTGCAATGCTCGTGTATATACTTACTAAACTTTAAACGCATTATATCGTAAGGCTAATTTTACAATGTGCTTTTTGTTTTCTGTTTCTTGCTGTTTGTCTCTTGCCTTTTTGATCAAGAAGGCAAGAGACAAACAGCAAGAAACAGGAAACAAAAAGTGCATTGTAGAATTAGCCCGCGATCTGCCGCCATCCATTATGCAACAAAGAGCGCGTCCCCGGGACGAAACGCTCAGCTGTTTTAACATGACTGTGGGGTTTTTTTTTTTTTTTTGGAGAAGCTGTCGCCGTGCTCTGACATGCTTCTCCTTCGATCTGTGTTTCGCAACATAACGCTCTGAGTTCTGTGCTCTTGTTCTGTTGAATAAATAATTTTTGTTTTATAAACTTCGTGTTGTTCATTTCGGCAGTACAGGAGCAACCTTTCTCTTGTTGCACAACGGGTGGCGGCAGGGCACGGGCATTAAAATACGATAGGACACTATAGGATACTATAGTACTACCCTTGTACTTTTTGCAAGATATAAGACTTTGCATTATAAAAGTAGAAAAGAGAAAATAAGAAATCGTTTAATCAATTTCATTTGTACTGTATAACTAAATCTAATATCAAAATTTTTACATATTGAATTTATATATCAATCGATACATATTACATTTTCAGCCGAATTAAAATCTTTCCTACAAAAAAAGTCTGTGGTTAATACAGAAAATGTATTAAAGCCGTGTTCGGATTGTAAAAAATACACTGTTAGCATTGAAAATTTATACTATACGTAACGTGATTTTCAGTACTGACAATGTACTCTGAAACCGAGAGATTATATTTAATTGAATTTTCCTCCACCTCAGTTATCGATTAAAGTATTTTAATGTATACATCTCTGGTCAAAATTGAAAAATTCTATCTTATCTTCGCGTAATAATTATACGGCACTTTATGACTCTTCTTGAAAAAAATTATAAAATCGTTACGCCTTTTTAATAGCTAGGTGTGGCTTTAAAGAGATGGCACCTTGTTTAAATACACCACTGATACTCAGTGAACGTGAACGTAGACTTGTTAGGCTATTTGTGGAACTACAACTGCTTAGACTAGTACTAGGTGTGAGATCAAAGATCGTTTGTACAGTAGGTCTTGTGGATGAATAATCCGGGATCGATTCTAAAATAAAGATAATAATTAACAATCGATTTACTTTGATCAGATTCCAAAGCGTCGTTTGATCATTACAGTTTCAGAACTATATAACTTGTGTACAATTACCTATTAAAGGTGTCTCGTCATATAAGGAACCTTGTCTTTTATTACTGATAAAGGAATTTCTCGTGCTTTCAATGCTAGACACCCTTTGAATAACTTCCGCGGCGTGTTTCCACCTTGAATGATCGTTGATGTGTACCAATAAGAGCTTTGACCATTTTTGAGCTTCCTCCTTTGATTCGAATTTAATTGGCAACGGTTTTTCCATACTGTTGCCAGAATTATTTATTAGAAATTCTTTGCTGGAAGTTTTGGACGGTTGAATGATTGTTCTCTATAGAAATTGCAGAAACAATTATTTAAATGAAATAACGTATGCAATTATATAAGAGATCTCTAAGAAAATGTCAACTAACTTTATTAATAGGTATTATATGTTCCGGATTTTGACCTTCTTCCGCATGCTTCTTTGATTCCCATATTTTTATATAAAATCCTTGCAGACGTGCCCAATAATCTTGACTATTGATTTTTACGTTGCCAATGCACATTTCCTTATTAATAGATTCTGGCTGTACCGCCAATCGACAGCAAAAGTGACCGAAAAGCGGTAGGGAGTGATACTTGTTCTCTGAAACAAGAATCGTAGTATAAGTATATTTCGAAAAATTCACTCAACTTTTACACGACTTACCGATGCTATTAATAACAAGGTCATGCGTGTGAGTATTATCATCCGTGTCGTCTAAGGTCAGTTTAGCACGAGCTACTAAATCAAAGTGTGGTCCACTGAAAAGAAAGTATTGTCAAAACATTTACGGATAAAGCTCAATTAATATATACCTGTATATATATTTCTGAAAACAGAAACTCACGATTTGGCGGAACCGAATTCGTCACGAAGCGAAGCAGCGAGCTTCTTACCGACGGTTTTCGAAATCGACGAGTGAATAGTCTTTTTGATTCTTCTTGGTGTGCTGGCGATACTTAAATCCTCTTGTAAAACGTGGCTATAGACTTCCAAGATTAATTCAAACTCGGGTGGCACATTATTACTGAAAATAGATACAAAATTTGACAATTATAAAATATACAAATTGTTATACATGTTCTTTCACTGAGTAGCACGATTGCAAATAACTTTAACTTGTCCTTGCCTTAAATTAGATTTAATGTTGTATAAATATGTGTTAATCGGAACTTACAATAACAAGACATCGGGAAAGCTGAGATCCGTATGAGCTCTATCAATGGGGCATAACAAAGAGGTGTCATGAATTTCTGTGCCCAATCGTGCTAAGCAAAATACGGCGAATCGACGATGATCACCGCGATTCTTAAAGTGATCGGAGTCTCTCCACATTAACGGTATCCTAAGATCCGAAATTGACAACTTACCCGTACTTCTAGAAATACTGGAAACACACGCGTTGACTTTAGTAATTATTGCTAAATTGTCATGAACGGGAAAGATATATCTTACTATATATAGTATCTTAGATATTTCTACAACAAAACAAGCGCATGAACGAACCAGGATTGTTTAGAAGATTCGCGGCGGCGACTTTGCAATTCCGCCATGTAAACCGACATCCTCTCGTTGGAGGTAAGCAGCGCTTTGGCGGCCTCCAAGCTCTGGGCACGATGCTTCGCGGCCGCCAAAAGTCTCGCCGAGCCTTCTCTCATCTTGATTTCCACCTCGATCTTCTGCTCCAGGTCATGCTCCTACAACATTATTATTCATGGTATTTTAGCAATCAATTCGCACATCATCGATCCAGCAACAAAAATTCCGTCGAAAATAATCCGAAATATATCATTTAAATTTTAAATAGAGTTATTCCAAGAGACCCACTCGCACATATGGTTGCAGGAAACGTAATTTTGCACTAGTATCTTGCATGGTGTTGAATATACAGACGTAAAGAAAAAAAGGAAGGAACGACCGATAGTTACGATCGGAGAAAAATTAAAGTGTCAGCGATAAAATGAGTGGTTGAACAGCACGTGGCCTCATCACGCGTTCGGGGCATCGGGTTACATACCTAACGAAACGTCTTACACATTTTGCGAACGAATCGGTTTACTCATTTTACCGCGGACTTCCTGAGATGTCCGTAGACCGACTTGTAACGCGTACAACAATTTGAAAACTCCGCGATTCCAAGTAGCGTATCTCGGAATTGTATACAGTTTTCAAATTGTGCACGTCTCATAAATGTAAATATACAATTATGAAACTAGTTGTCTGGACAATTGTTTGCGTCGTCGATTATTTCTTCAAACTACTGTATTAAAAAATTGTAGCTTTATACATCACGGCGATAATATAGTTTATATTTATGTTTGGAATTATGAAACACTAATATCGTCCGTACACTAATTTAAAAATTATCTCAATTGGAATTTTAGAAGATTTAATCAGAAAATTCTGATTCCTCCCTTTTCAACCAGAATTTCAATGAATTCAACCAGATATTTTTCTCAGAGTATACATGTATCTATAATATAAACAGAAACCTGGGAGAACGTGGGTTTCTCACTCGTCCGTTTTAGAGATTTCGACATGTAAAAAAGCGCAGTTTCGTCGCGTTTACGTAGGCGATCGCGATCGCGCACGACACGGGCCACAGGTGAATGGAAATTCCACTTCAAGGCAAGAAACAAACTTCGCGAAAGCGTAAATAAATCGGCGCGGTTCTCGCGACGCTGGCTAGTAGCAGAACGCAGAAACGGACTGAAATAACGACTCTTCGGGGAAGTGGGCGAATGTACGAGGGGGTGACGTTCACCTCGACAAATTGGCTCGCTTGTGTGTTCCTCCTTCCTACCCTCGGGAAACCAACGCTAACATTACGGGATATCGATCCGTGACTAACGTTTTATAGTCGGCTTGCACGAGATCACCATTTGTCCCTATATACAATAAGTACATGCTGGGAAGAATTGTGTGCGTTCGGAGAATTAATTTTTCCAATTTTTTCACTCTCATACATATTACAAATATTACGTATCTCTCCTATATAAAGTATATTTTAAACATATTCGAAATATCTTGGATATTACGTAAGATGTGTAAAATCTTTTTCTCCTGAGATTTTTCTCTCGTCGCATTAGCACACGTCTGTTAATTCTCTATGATGCCGGAATGAGACGTATGATCCGAAAATAAAGCACGCATCAGTAAAATCAATAATGCGAGAGATGATTCATTGCGCGCATCGAGCGATTTCGTATTCCGCTAACGTTACCGTGACACATCCTTGTGCTCGGTATGGTCCGCGCGATGCAGTCTATCAGGGATATATCCACATATATTTCTCGCGTCGTCTCGGATAGGAATTTTGCAACGACGCAAGGGCAACCGCGGCCACATTTAATCCCTGACCTCTGTCGCCAGTGCTGTAACGAGTCTTGATGAAACTCGAAGCGCGCCGTGCGACTAACGAGTACTCACGTAAATACTTAATATGATGTAATACAATTCGCGCGTGCGGGTGTATTATCTCTTTCGATTTTGCTCTCAGGATTTTTCCCTTGGGTACCCTTTAAGTACGCGTCGTGTCGACGTGAACAAAGCTTCGTCAGCGCGCAGCATTCTTCTCGTCCCGTTTGCACGTATATACGTAATCTCATTTCGGTTTCCTTCGTTTTTGTCCCTCATCGTGTCCCTACGTGCTTTTCCCCCCTCAATTCTCGCTTTCTCCCGCGTCGCCAGCGCACTTTCCCGGCTTTGCTTGTCTGCCGAAAATAGTCGCCAGAAATCCAATACCCCATGTGCAGTTGTGGCTGTATGGTCACCGCACGCGACGCCCGTTCATCTTCCTTTCACGCGTGAATCTCCTGAAGGCGCGATAACTTCATGTCCGATAAGTATGTCCGCGGGTCGTAAAGCCAATGGGTATTATAGAACCTCTGTATCGAAATAAACCGGTGAGAGATATACACATAGGTAACAGAAATGAGTAATAAATATTTGATATATCGTAAAATTTTCACCACGACCAATCTATTTGTTCTGCACAGCAAATTATACCCGTTGATCTCGATCGCGATTTTAAATCTGTTTAACGTTGCCATCCATATGTCTGACCGTAGTGATGTCCACATGCGACGTCTAAAAATACGAACAACGAACGCAAGGAAATGTTGGCAGCCACTCACGTACAATAACTCAACTCCCCTTCGCACATATTTGACATGAATTAAACATTCAAGGGTGACTTTGACTAAGCGATCAACTTAATCGGCGATCAATTCAATCGACAGAATTGCTATATAAGTCGTTCTTTCTTTCTCTTTCTCTAATCTGATTTGTATTCTTCCCATGTGTTTAGTAATAAAGAATTAATATTCTATCCGACATACATTACATTGTGAAAAAAGTGTTTCGTATTTATAATTACACCTATAATTGCATTCTAAAATAATTATGATTAAGAGCTCCATTTTTATATTTTTATTATTCTATAATATAATATAGTAATATAAACTATATTTCTTATTGCACATATCAAGAATATATTTAGTTGACATTAAAAATCATTATGAATTTTTTGTTAATATATAAAACTAAATATAATTATCATTATTAATATTACAGCTAGCATAGTAACTGTAAAAGTGGAGTGACTTCTAATCATAATTATACAACATTTTACCAATGGCAATTATAATCATGAATACAAAACATTTTTCTCTCAGTGCAGCACCATTTTTCGACAGCTTTATCATCAGATGTTACTTGCAGCTTGATTGAAGTCATCTGCAATAATCGTCTGTTAAACAATTAAGATTCGAAAACGACACAGGATCGTTTTGCCACATTTTTAGAGACACGATATCTCTCGTCTCTAGTGAAACAATCATCAGCAACGTATTTTCGGAGTCATCGAACATTAATACAATAGTAAACATAATCGCGATCCTACCTTCGAGTTTCGTGCGATCTGTCGAACGTAATACAAATCCAAGTCTTGGAAAATGTCATTCTTTCCCGATAACGTCGGAGTCCTCGATCGCATCCGGATGTCCTCGGCGTTTACGACATTGCACTCGTCGTTGAGTCGATCCCTCGATTTGTTCGCATTCCGCGGATTCAATATCGCCAAATGTGGAAAGCAGGAGTTCATCTTATTCGTTTTTTTTATTTTTCGATTGTACGTTGCTACTCTTCGTTCGAGTCGAGTGTCGACCCACTGGTCGAATACATCAAGTCTATTTCAATGCCGATAACTTGCAAACGAGATCGATATCGAAGGTGCATCGTCGCGCGGATCGGCAATCATGGATCGTCCAGGATTATGCTTCCGCCTCTCCGAGAGATATAATTTCACGGTGTATAATGCCGTCGGGCAGCGAACAATTTTGCACGGACCAGTCTTGCTGGTTTATTCCCCGATGCCTTGACCCCGAGGTCTTAAACGGACACAAAAGGAGAAAGAAGGCTATCTTCCGCTTTTTCCTTCAGAAGATTGGAGTCAAGGTAGACGAAGAGACGCCTCTTCCTCCGCAAAATACTCCGTCCACTTCTGCCGTTTGGTACATGAACGGTTCTGTAAGCTGCGTGACCTCTAAATTTTAGGTAAAGCTTTGAAAAATATTGTTGTCATGCTATTGAACCTTCCGTCAGCTTGACCTCTTCTCTTTTCAAATACGAACGCGACAAAAAAGTGTCGCGTTCAGTCGCCAACGGCGGTCACGTACGTCGACTTCGCTTAGATCCGGTCATCCTACGTTTTTCCGTTAGCTACAAAATAAGCCGTGACGGCATTGCGCCTCCGCGCGCGATGCGACGTGCGACAAACAAGAGGCACCGTTCTTGCCTCTCTCGCAGCTCGCTCGCTGTTGCGCTGCGGCTGCTGCTTCACCACCGAATTTACTTTTTCCCCGTTTCCGGTGGTAGTCTACGCCCAGTAATCTACGCCGTGATTCACCACCACCACCATCACTGACAACGAGTGGAAAAAGAAGCGGGACGTTTTCTTCTTCTTCTTCTTCTTCCTTGTCCACTTTCTCGGTTTCACGGTTCCCCGTTGATTTTCCGAACAATGAGAGGCATACCGTCACGTGCAGAGATCTCGCAGAATTGTCGTGCAAAAAGAGCTCGACAATCGGTGATGACTGTGCGCTTGAGATTCAACGAATCGTGCCGGCTGCGGCACGACTAGATCAGACTAGAGACAAAGATCGCGCGCGCGCACACACAGTAATTGATTAATCGAACAAAAATAATCTTGGAGACGCGCGAGAAACGATGAGTATATCTAGCGTCGCGAAGGAAATAATTCTCTCTAAGAGGGAGAGAAAAAGAGGCGAAAGGAGAACCGCGTCCCCGGGAGAACCCGACTAATACTGAATGACGCTCGACCATTCGGCACTGTGTAAGCACTGTAAGCATAAGCATCAACAGACGCACCACAGCGCTACGCACCAACGCACCACACGCGGCAAAGGCAAAATCTGCAGGATGACGGGCGAGAGGGGAGACCACCGGCGCTACCGACAATAGATTGAATGAGAGAGCGGGGCGAGTAGGGAGATGGAGAGGATCGCCCACGCAGATAGCATCCGCTGACTTTTACATTTTGTCGCGCGCGCGTTTAAGCAATTATCAAGTAATTATCTACACCAAACAGAGCGACGCTGCTTGTAGAAGCGTTACAAATGTATCAAATAATACTCGTACTTCCCTCCCCCTCACTTGTCTCATCACAGCATCTCGCGTCTCATTAAGCGTTAGGTCTGCTCCAGTTTCTTAAAATCCTTGAAAATTAATTGTTGCACTTAAAACGAGATAAATGTAATCGAGCGTTGGAGAGAGAGAGAGTCTTAATAGAAAACTACAAGCAATACTTTTATTATTTATCGTCGTCAGTTGCCTCATTATATTCAATAACCACGTGGAATTATCTTATTCCGTTTATAATGACACAATATGATGTAATAAATGGAATAAATAATAAATAGTATTCTCTATATAGCTATAATATCATCCTGCATTATCCTGAAGTAGGTCTGTTTTTTACAGCTGAACTGGTACACCCTTTAATTGCACTTACAGTGAAATACGTATATGTTTATACATGGCACAAGCGTGAAAGAAAATTCTAGTACAGTCTACAGCAAGAATAAAAAACAAACCTATCATAAGTGGATTACATTACGTCTCTTTTTTTGTCTAAGTGAGCAGTGAGCACCTTACTTTCGTACTTACGTGAATGACATTAATTTTGTACATTGATAATTCTACAGCGTAATTCTTTCAAATATAAAAATCTGAAATACACAGTGTGTCTCATAAGTCCACGTGAATCCGCCCAGCATAACCTATTATAGTTTATATACCACTCGTTGGTCAATCACGTCTTTAGGGCGAGCAGCGATTTTGGCGAAATAATCTAAGTCATCTGTTGAATCTGCGAGTATCGAATCAGGAGAATTTCCACGAGGCAAAAGGCAAAGTGATTTTTAAAAACGAGTCAACGGATGCATCCCGGTCACGAGATCGTGACATCTTGGGCGATCCGTCGATTTGAACTCACCACATGACTTCTGGCATATCTAAGACTCTCCCGCCTACGGACCCTCGTCTGATAGTCGTTCAGGCAGCACAAATAATTGTTCTCCTTGTAGTAGACGTCGTTCAACGACCTGCGCGACGTTTGAACGCCCTTCCTTCGCGGCGCCATTTTGTCATTCGAATTTGTTCGAATTTCTTGGCGGCGAGGAAACGTAGCGCACGTAGCGCGAGATGCAGACGTTGCCATTTGCGAAATGGCGGATTTTCATGATGCGAGATTCAAACGGCGAAATCCTCCGGCTCTTCCAATTATAAATATGAATTATGGAAGAGACGGAGAATTTATATGATTACGCAAACGCGATTCTCGTAAGTTCGATGCCTCCACGTGCTTTTACGAACGTTACGAAATATTAGAGTTAAATTTCGGATCACGTAACGTTGGAAATCAGGTCGAAGGGAACGACGAGATCACGAGAAGCAACAGGTGTATACACACTATACGCAGACGCGACGTATTTGTCATACCATACACGCTCTTTAATAAAATTTAGAGCCTGTAAAAAAAAAAAATTGAATGAATATCTAGAATCTCAATCTCTCAAAATTGTTTAAACTGTATAAACTAAAATCTGATCAATCTATCGAACATAATGTCTGCGTATTATTTTGTTAACATGGATCGTTTTATTAATTTTTTCAATAAACATTACAATAGAGATTAAATTAAGGAAATCATATATATAGTTAGTATTTATTTAAATATTCTGCTAGAGTCAATTGAATCAATTATGCTCGTTTCTACCATTGTAGATTAATTTTAATCTATGTTCAACCTTATATATTTATCTTTTTCCAGCTGACAAAACAATAAATTCGCACAAGAGAGTGAAATTCTTAAAAAAGTGTATTTAAATAATACAATATATGTTATCATAACCTTTAATTATTAATCGCATCAGTTTGACAGACTGGTACTGTTTAAAATGCCAAATGAAATGGCGTGTGCGCGCATACGCGATATCACTAAAACTAAGTTAGACATTTTCAATAAATTGGTAATATATTTTATAAGCAAGATATAATAGCTACAATATATCATACACAATAATGGAAAATGTCAAATTTAGCCACAAATATCAATGCACTAAAGAGCCATTTATTTTTTGTCCTTGTCTTTGTCTTTGTCTTTGTCTTTCTCCTTCTCTTTCTCTTTGTCTTTATTTTGTTGTAACGATCCAACGGCTTGGCGTACAGCTTCAGAATGCGGATCCACACCTGGTAAGTTTTCCAGGACCGATTGCAGAAAAGCAGGATCAGACATGACGGCTGCGTAATCCTCTTCCACATCCATCGCTTCTTCCTTTTGCGATTCCAGTTCTTCTACATAACGATAATACCAATAATAAAGCATTAGGCAATATTAATTGTGAATTTGTATAATATTATATTGTGCAATCTTCATGCATGTATCCAGAAATATTGTATATTATACAAAATATTAAATAATTGAATGCTAAAAAGCTGCCTATTCAACCAAAAAAAAATCCGAGTTTTACTTAACTAGAATTATAAAAAATCGGATTTAATTAACATTTATGATTTACGTCAGTTTATCAGTTAAGATCAACAATGTTTTATGTCAAGAGTTAATAATTACGAATATTAATAAATCCGATTATTGGTGATATATATGTGTAATCAACGTATTATGTATAATTAATTATAAATTAAAAAACTTACGCTGATCTTGCATTGACATTTGCATTGCAAAAGCAATTTGTTCCTCTTCAGTCATATTAGTGAAGTCAGGCACATTGCTTCTACTTGGAGCAGTATTATCACTAGTGGCAGTTGAGTCGTCTGCACCTTCAAGAGACATGGCGAGGGCACGTTTTAACATAGCCTCCTCATTGGGAGCTTCCTTTATGGTTTCCTGTTGTTTATTCGCGACAGTCTCGCTAGCCTGCGCACGACGTGCCTCATCTTCCTGACGTTGCCGTTGCTCCTCCATAGAAACGCGCAAAGCCTGAATTATATGAAGCATACAAAATTAACACTAATTACACAAGGGAAAAAAATTGTCAATAAAACGCAGATACTGACCAACGCCAACTCGGGATCTTCATTTGGATCGACTCCGAACTCGAACGCGGCACCGCTCATGCCGGCTGCACCCATTCCATCTTCACCTTGAATTATAGGAGAGGAGATCAGGGCATCTGATAAATGCGGACCTGGTGGAACAGTGACAAGATGACTTCCGGTGCCGTCCTTGCCATTCAATGCATTAACAAAGGCAGTTAGTACTTCGTTATTAATGCTCTCTTCACCAAAACTTATGACATCAACATTCACTTTCTCCTTTTTCAGACGTTTTGCTAACTTGACCAATTCCTTCTCGTCAATGTCTATTGGACTTCCGATAAATGCAACAATGCGCATTTTATGATTTTTTCCTTGTCGATGTTTCAATGCTAACTGTAAATTTTTCAATCTTTAGTATATAATATTTGATTATAGACTCAGCTATAAAATTAAAAGTCTGTTTTTCAAACAATGTTTTCAATCAGTTTAATAAGAGTTGGAGTAAAGAGTAAAACAAATTATATTGATTTCATTCTTTTACAACTTATTACAATAATTAAGAGAGTTAATCAAACGAAGTGAGATAAAAATTACAAAAGTGAGCAAATTTACCAGAATTTTTCAAATTTATAGCTTAGCACCTACAGTGAATTTCTCAAAAAATTTTCCAAAGAAGAACAGTAGATCTTGGACTAAATAATATATACTTACATGGGCAATTCTGATGCCTGTGACAAGAGCTAATTTTCCATTTGGTTGAACCTGATGAAGTTTAGACAGTATTCTACCAACATCGCTTGTGAGTGTCGCTAGTACTTCCACACTAGAAAGATAGAGATTTATGTCCATATTCACCTTGCCATATATAAATTTTTACATTCGTGATAATCGCAGATATCTGAACTCGGCGTACTTAGCGAGAGTTATGAGGCCAACGTTGTTTTCCGGATTTGAGCGAGTCTTGGAGTGACACACCAAGTTGACGGCATCTTGCTGCGCCTGTAGCCGGGTAGGTACGAAATCCCCATTTCTCATGTAATCGCTGTTATCGACGCTGCAAAACGTTAAAATCATGAGGCTTTAGCTCAAGCATACCCAATACTTGTAAACAAACGCGAGATTACATTTTGGAGGAGCTTGGACTGAGTCTGAGATTGTGTCAACGTCATTGTCACTACACTAACCTCCAAAAATTGCAAACACGGTCAAACGTGTGAAATTAAGCCACAGCGAAAACGTGCTGTTCACGGAGCGAATGCGAACCTCGCAAATTTATCAGAGATATCATTAGAACCGATGTGAAAAATTACGATTTCTTGTAAAACACAAGACTTACCATATCATCGTACTTTCCAGCACCATGTTGGATGGATCGACTGGCCCAATCGACACAAGATGGCGCGAGACGCGGCGCTGCATTCGGCGATCCAATTTCTATCGACTCACGATTCGCATCGTTCGCACAATGCGCACGTGCGTATTAATTTAAAATTTAAAGGGCGACCTTTTTACCACGTTCGGAGCACGAGCGCTTTTCAAATTCCAATTAATTTAATTGGCAGTTAGTTCAACTGGCACGAGAGAGAGATTGCTTGAAACTAAAAATTTCCAACTGCTGAAATCTTATTTGAAATTTTTTATTAGAGCTTTCAATTGAAATTGTTTTATTTAAGCATTATCAAATTGTATAGGTCTCTTCCTGTTTTTTTTATCTCGCTACAAACTAAGGATGAATTTTGTTCAACTAATATATGAACTAAAAATCATGTAACATCAATGTCATAATTTCGCATTCAACAGTTAAATGCAAAACAATATATATAGTATTATATAACAGTTATATATACCTATACTGTTGAGTGTCAAGAAACAATAACGTATTGATAAGTTACTTTTAGTTAGTGCAGTTAATTGCGGGCGAAGCGTTTTACACACAATGCATGCATTTATTATACATATTTTTAAAACAAGAATTGTTACATACTTGTTTAACAAAACGAAAAATTATGAAAAAAAATTCGAATTTTTTAATTGTATTTGAAAGTAATGTAGAAAATTTGTTAATAATTTATTTAGAATCTAGATAAAAAAAATTTCGATAAAAAGTATATGTCTTTAAAAAATAATTAAGACAAAATGAGAGAATTTTCATTTCAACTATAAAATTACGTTGTTATAAATATATATCATACAATGACTTATCAAACTTTTCATATGAATATACGACATTCATCCAATTCCAGTCACTGTTCATATATATATATATATATAATATACACACACAAATATATATATACTTGCATTTGATACATCTTTGAACAAACGCGATGCATTGGTGCATTATACGTAAAACGGTAAAACAAACGCGATTGTTCGATTCTTTCTCCAAATTCTCTATTTCTTCTCTGCCTGTCTAACTATATAAGGATGCTCATTATTTAATTTAAAAAACAATCTCATAGTAAAAATCGGTTTTTATTATACAAAAAAGCAACAAGGAACCTCGTCTAAGTTCCGCCTAGGACACAACTACGTCGTAGAGTTCGAAAAGGTGTAGGTGGACGAGAGAGTCGGTGAGGGCGGCGGCGTGCGATCGTAGTTCAACGCGAGCGTCGAATACCTTGGTGCCTCGTCCATGAGAACGGCTTGCTCGTACGTGGGTGGCAGATCCTCTCGCGATCTCGACGGCAACGCCATCAGCTTCCTCGCTTGTCGCCTCTCATCTAAAATCCGCATTATGATCACAATCGGCCCCACCAGCAGCATAATCGCACCGATAGATACTAAAGCGACCGCCGTCGTCGCGATGTTTTCGTTCACGCGGGAAAGTTTATTTACGTTGCTCTTGTCTGTCCTGATGGTAAATTGGTCCTGATCGGCCCCCTTGCCGAGGGTGGACGTCTCGTGCGTCATCTCGTGTACTACTGTAGCTCGTGTTGCGTTTTCTGCGAGATCGAGATCCTCTTCCTCCCTCAAAACCGATCCCTCAGTCTTGGATTCCGAATAATCCGAGGTTGCAGTGACGTCTTTTTTCACGTGGATGTTATTCGAAATTTCGTTACCGAGGATAAGCTCCTTGTCTCGGGTTATTCTTGAGATTTTGTTGACCGTTACATCTTTATCTTCGACATGATCGTCAGGACGCCGATTTATTTTCGTTAAGTGATTGGTCTTCAGCTGTGAGTTCAACGTTCCTCGATCGGTCGTTGAAACTGCGAGAGAATCCGCGAGGAAGACCGTAGATCGTTGCTTCTCCAAAATAGTCTCGGATGCGTTCTTTAATCGTTCGTTTCTAATTGTATTTAATTCAGAGAGATTCCTATCATCATCCAGAGACGTAGATCTATTAGGATCTATCTGAATTATTATCTCTATGTTCTGGTCGATCAGTTGTTGCTCGGTAGATAGATCGTATTCATGTCTCGTAGACGACACGACGGACTCCAAACCGGTTGGAGGATTTACCTGTGGAAAGGTAAAGCGAGCACGTTATGTATACATATATATGTGTACATAAATGGGCAATTTTATATAAGCAGAGATATAATTGCGATTGCACAACACAAAAACTCTATAACACACATCTATCTCTATAATAGAATCTATGCACGTAATGATTATTATAACGAACCTTGATAATAATTTATAAATTATACATTATATAATTGTTTCATTATATCTATCATATTATATAATATGATAATTGATAAAGGAGATTAGAAATAATGAATTTTTATAAATAATACAATTATTTTATGTATACATTAAATAAATGTAAATACTATACATAAATGGATATAAGATTAATATATAATAGACGTTGATAATAATAGATATACATATAATGAATAATGAAAATTAATAATTGTTACGAATGTAATTATTGCATGCATGTTAATCATTTAGTAGAAATAAATTACCTCCATTACCTCGACAACATTGTTGGTTTCTAAGATTCTCCTATGCAAAGTACTGACGCCTCTGTGAAGAAGAATGATGCCAACGGCGTTCCAGGTGACCAGCTGTAATATAATAATTACTCTCGAGGCCCATCTGTTTGTTCTCGAGGTGAAGGACATTGCGGTAGCATCACATCGGTTATTATGATTATTATCGGAAGGCAATTATTATCGTATGTCACGTGACACACCTTTTTCGCACACCTGCTTCGCCCGGCGTGGTTAGCTGTTAGCTATTATAGCTAAGCGACATTTTTATCGTTATACATATTCGTTATATTCGACGACCAGCGACGATGGCTCTCAGAGTCACCGTATAGATATGCGGCGAACGTACACGGGATATCGATGCCGCGGATACCGGCGGAATTCAACAATTTCGTCATTTATTCGTGCCGAGATTGAACACGTTATAGTCTCTCGTATAATGTCGTCTCGTGGCACGAAAATAAATCCGCCAAATCTTTATCTATAACTCTTCTCGTAAGCAACTCGTTGTTTCAGGTGCAACGTTAATGTGGGACCCGTGAATCCGTGTGAAGCATAAAGTTGGCGCCTGCAAAAACAATTAAATGTCGTATAAATTATTTATCACTCGCTTTTTGCTCTTGCGGGCGACGATTTATTCAGCTATGATATAATACACGGATGTTGCAGATAGCTATAAATTTGATTACAATCGCGAAGGTAAAATTTTAAAAGTAGCTGCTTTACACGCGCGGATTCAGGATTATTCTCGAGGATAGAAACACTTTTTAATTCAAATGCATATTAAAGCGCATCGCGAGGAAGCGCTCCGATGTCACATTATGACGAATCGTGACGGAAGTATCGGAGTGAAAGAGAGAAAAGGAAGTGCGGAAACTTTTTTGTTTAACGTTTTACTGTATGTATATTGGTCGACGATCACTATATGAAGCAGTCGTCGTCCTCGGCGCGGCACGATTGCGACTTATTTGCTCGGTTATACGCGATGGGTCGTGGCGAGCAGTAACGAATGACTCATTTCCACTACCTTAGCGTCGTCCCGTTAGGCACATACTGTACGTTTCATGCGAGACACGAGACAACCCATGGGCGTAAGCGAAAAAAAAAGACAATGTTTTTTCGCATTTAAACGTCGCTATAATTATTTAAGTAGCGCATTATCCCTGACAATATGAAGTCGACTAAAAGTTTAACTTTAAGTCGACTAGGGGAGTGCAAAGGCGACTGAAAAAGTCGACTGAATGTTGACTTATAGTCGACGAATATCCCGAAAAAATTATAAGTCGACTATACTGCCGTCGATTTTAAGTGGGCTATATAATCGTCGCAGTTGTTTTAAAGTCTACAGTAATCATCGTACAATCGACTTAAAAGACCGCGTTCAGTAGAACGTTTATTTTATAATTGTTGGATGTTTTCTTTACTCTGATGGGATTATATTTTTAGATTTAAAAGTATATGATCCAAGTAGCGCTAAGAAAACTTCCAACAGTTGTAAAAAAAAAAATAACATTCTGTTGAACATATAGCCATATATAGTCTCCCAAGAAATACACCAAGTCAAGAGAAAATTAAAATGACGTATTTTGACGTCAAATAATGATTTTTTATTACAAAATTTGACTGTTTATAGAATTGACTTCGAGCATATAAAAATAATCATTTTGATTTTTTATTGATTTGTGTGTTTCTTTTGAGATATACTAGATACTATATATACTATAGCTAACGCAAGAAAAATACAAATTTTCAGGCTGCATTCCGTTATTCAGCACAAGTACTAAAACTCTACAGTACACATTATATATATAGATTTTCAATACTGGCAGCGTATCGAAATACGATACATAGTTGTCTTTAAATCTTAGAGTGCTATATCCCATAACAGTCGGAATTTCGGAAACATTATACGACCAATCGAGATCAGCGAATTACACGAGAACGCGACAAACTATATTAAATTATATTAAAATAATTCTGATTAATATATATATATATGTAGTTATATATATTACTGTTATATATATTACAGTTTCTTCGAAATTAGGACTGTCATGGATGAGAAGCACCTTGCCTTAGTTAATTTTTAAAAGTTTTATTATCGATAAATATATCGACCGTGTGGTCCTTGACTTTTCAGAGTTGATTAACTTTACGTCGACTGAGAAAAGTTTCTATAAGTTAACAATTAAATAGTTACTCGTGTTATCTGTGATAGTCGAGTATATATTATATTCGATACATTTTTTTGTATATTGTACCAAAAATAGCCGGAGTGCATTTACTAGTATAAAAATGGCTACTATCATGTTTTTTACTTCAATCGTAACAATCGCCGTTAAAATTCTTTGCATTCGGAATAATAATATAGACGACAAATATTAATACATTGAGTGCCGCGACCAATTTTTATAAATATATCACAAGAGCCGAAGCTTAAAACTATCCAATATCTGGAAATTATTATTTTTTATGCAATTTGAGAATCTTAATTAATTACTTTAATATATTACTGGAAATCACGGAAATCTAGCACACGGTATGTACGTGTGTCGTCGGCGCGCGCCGCTCAACGTGTTAATGTCTGCGGAATACCGTAATTTTTACGCCTTAAATATGCACAATTATACATATAGCTTATATATTCATTTCTACTAATGTAATAATTAACTTATTGTTAATCTCAATAATTTAACTTGTTTTTTTTTATCTTTATTATACTTTTAAAAATTATATACTTAAAATAAATATGAGTATATAAAATCTAAAATTAACAAAAATAAATTAAATTGATAAAATTGAGCCTCATCCGATAAAATATTAGATATGAATAAAAAATATTAATTTTCTTGAAATGTAATTGTAAGAACATAAGTAAACACGAGATCCTTGGAATAATTGAAACGCAATTGTAATATCGACAATAATTAAGCGCGTCTAGTAATTTATGCAATTTTTTAAATAAGAATTATTTGGACAGAGATTTACTGTATACATATATGTAGATTATTGCTATTTTCATTATATTTAAATTGGACACTGCTGTGGATATCTTATTGTATGAAAAAGATGTTTTTTTAGAATCAATACCAATAAAAGGAAAAAGATTTATTTAAAAAATGCAAGCGCGCTTGATGGCGCCCCGTAGTGAAGAAAAACGCAAGTAGTAACAAACGGCGCCACTTCAGTCATGTCAGAAGAGGATAATTTCGTAGTAGTGACTCGTCGTGGAAGACGTAATGGAAGAAGGATCAATTTAAATGGAAACTCTTTAGCGAGCGTAATTATAGAACAAGACTACGAGATCAATCACGATCGTCTTCTTCGGTAAGTCAGTTCCACGATTGCGTCTCGTTATTCTCACCGTCATCTTAACCTAACCTAGTCAAATGATGCCGCGACCTGTCGCGATCTACGTTGAGCCTAGTTGATTCTAATTGCAATCACGTTTTTTTACGGCAACTTTCAGCACGTTAGACAAGGCGGTAGGCGGAATCAGGGACACGTCGTTTATCAAGTTCATTTTTAGCCGTCTGTCGGAGTCTCTAGCCACTCTAGGCTCCAACGGTATCTCTGAGATAGTCTGCTACGGGTTAGGACGGTTCTCGCAGAATAGATCATCGAGATGCCAATTGGCGTTTCTACTGTGTCTGAAGGCGCAATACGAGTCGATTCGCATACACGTATACGATCCGGCGTTTTACCCTGAGGAAGTGCAAACTCTGCGTACTTTGGGATTAGAGGTTATAGAGACAAACGAGGAAGGCAAGCGTGTCGTACAGCGAGATAGGACCACCCTCGTGTTCATGCCGCATTGCTCGCGACATCTGACCAATAATTTCCTCTATGCGAATTGGGGCGATGGACTGAGCAGTTGCATCCTGCTGGCCAACAGTCTCTCGAAAACTGTTAACAATTGCTTGCATAAGGACCTATTGAATACAGCTGGTTACATATTACGCATTCATCCTTATGTTACAGAGATTCAGTTGGAAAATTCCTTCATGTACAGGGAAGTTTTCCACAACCTTAATATTCATATCTTTACAAGACAAAACCTGCTTAAGGTCCCAGCAGATTTCTGGAGCTCTAAAGAAGAACCACAATATTTAACAAAAGACGTTGAATTCGTTACAGCCGTGCAGTGACAAATGACATTTGATACACTGTAATTATCTGCTTTAGCTCTTGCAATGCTATTTGTGTAACAAAATGTAATTCTTGTGTCAATAGTCGAATGACTAATGATTCCAATTTGCTTTTAGAATACAGCAACAATGAATAATAATATTAAAATTATCCGTTCTCTCTTACAAGAGGTACGTAAAGTTTCACAGACTAAAAATATAAAAGAGAATGCAATGTTACATTATGTCATGGAACAAGCACATGCTCATAAAGAAACCTCTGAAGTTTTATGTAAAGAGCGAGAAGAATTAAAGAATTTAGCTGGGATGTATATTTGTTACTTGAAGTCTCAGCAAGCATGTAAGGATATTCGTAAACAGTATACTGGTAAAGGTCAACGCAACATAAAGGAAACTGCGGATCTCATAGGTTTTAAATTACCTCATGATCCAAAATAAAATGTATGGATCAAAATAGAAATTTTTTAATTGTATAGTGATGTGAGTATTTGTACTTTACCTGTCTGTATTTATTGTACTTCTATCGAGATAGTTTAAATAGTAAATTTTATTAAAGAAAAAACTGTTTTAATTTTATTTTATGTATCACATCTTTGTACATCTCTATTATTTATATCAAAATATCACTGTATTGTATTTTGGTTGAATTTTAGTACTTGTGTCGATTCACAAGACTTTTATCAAAATTGGGTGTCCCTCATTTATTTGATAATATCGAATGTTAAAATATAAAAGTATAAAAATATATTTTTAAAATAGAGAAAATAGTACACATGCTAATAATAACATGTTTATGATTAAAAGTAATCTTCCTTATAATGTAATTTGTAAATATACATTATAATATTGAGGATTATTAATTTAAGAGTATTCCTTGCGTATACATTTTGCGATCGTTGACAACTGCATATTGCTTGTACCTTCATAAATCGTGCCAATCTTAGAATCCCTAAAGTATTTCTCCTGAGGAAAGTCGGTTGTAAATCCAACACCTCCCATAAAATCTATGCACTTTGCGGTGACACGTAACGCAGTTTCTATAAATATGATATGTATGTATTAATTTTATTGTATATATAGTCTTGAATTTAAAATATAAATGAAAAATTACCAAGTTACATACCAGATGCAACTAATTTGGCCATAGCTGCTTCTTTCATAACATCTTTTTTAGCATCTACCAATCTAGCTGCATTGTAAACTAATAACCTGGCGCATTCTAAGTCAGTTACTGCTTGAGCTATTTGATGTTGCATTGACTGAAAACGGATTATTTTTTAAATTTTAGGTATACATGGATATTTCATTCGTATAAAGTAACCATCATACTTGAAATGAGAAAACGTCCTTTCCAAATTGCTTCCTTTCCAACGTATATGGTATAGTTGCATCCAAACATCCTTGTGCTATTCCAATCATTTGAGCGCCAATGCCTACTCTACCTTCATTCAGAAAACCAGCCGCATATTTGTATCCGTGTCCAAACTCACCTAAAATATTGCTTTCAGGTACCTAGATACAAAATATGAATTATAATAATATTGTAGATGTATTTATACATTGTATAAAAACTGTCTGTTCTTTGTCGCAATTTTGTTCTTTGTACACTAGACTATATTATAATTTTTTATTTAGCTTTCACTAAAACTTTAAAGCCAGCCACAAAGAAGAGATGTAGTAACTGCGATTTTTTCAGTACATGCACACATAAATTTAAAAAAATTTGTTGATATATACCCTGACGTTATCAAAATGAATCATGCAGGTTCCAGATGCCTTGATGCCTAATTTATCTTCAGGTTTAGCTACAGTCAAACCGGGCGTATCGCGTTCCACGAAAAAAGTCGTGATGCCGCGGTATCCCTATTTAATGTAAAATAGCATTACGTGGTTACATTAATGGTTGTTTCTTCTTTTCGTATGTAAAATTTTACTCACCGCGGATGGATTTGCATTGGCGAAAACCAAAAATACACCCGCGATATCGGAATTTGAGATCCACATCTTTGTTCCATTGATTACAAAGTCGCTGCCATCTTTTTTCGCTTCGGTTTTAAGAGCAAAAGCATCCGATCCGGAGTTAGGTTCCGTCAGGCAAAAGCTACCGGCCTAAAAAGATCTTCTTATCTTCTGTCTCTCTATTTATGTATCAATAACGAAAGCGTGTAATAACGTACATATGTTTGTGCTAATTTAGGCAGATATTTCTCTTTATGTTCCTTAGATGCAACTTTAATGATAAGCGAGTTTATCAGAGTATTATGAATGTCAACAAGAGCAGATACAGCTCCATCGACCTTCGCGACTTCTTCGACAGTTAAAATTGTGCTCATAAAATTGCAACCTGCACCTCCGTAATCTGTTGGAATTTCAAGGCCCATCAACTGAAATTTTGAAAGCGATGTTTAAGATGTTGAACTATAATATTTCTTCATTATATCAGTTTACAGAAAAAATGGTCAATTTAAAGATAAAATTACGTACACATTTATTAAAATTTTATAAAACTATCTTTAACAGCGCAATATATTTTCTTCTATTATCCGTTCTATCACGTTATGTGATTGACCGTGTCGACTATACACGTGACTTTGTTTTTCGAAGAATAACGGTTGAAAAGATCAGTATTGTGTTGCAAGGCTGGTTTGATATTTTATTACAACATATTTTATAGAATTAAGTAAAGAGAGGAATAAGGCCAAATACAGTCGAGACTGAACATAGATGTATTAATTTTGTATAAATTAAAATGTATATTATGTAAATACATTTTTTATCTTCATAAATTGCACACCAATTACCGTCGGATTTAAAAAAAAGCGAAATACGTTAAATACGGTTAAAGTTGGACCGAGGTGTCTTATTAATGTATATTAAAAATATATATTATATAACTTCTAAATATATAATAATATTCAATTTTAAAGAACCGTCAATGTAACAACATATACTAATACGAATCGAAACCTATAACAATCTAGCTGGATTTTAATTGCTTATATATAATTTCGCATAAATTTATAATACTGATATGTGTAGTCTTTCTAAACTGCGCATTTTAGAAAGACTACATATACCAGTATATAAATTCATACAAAATTATATATAAGCAACTAAGATCCATCTAGACTGTTATAGGTTTCGATTCATATTAGTTTTAAATATATCTTTTATCTTTAGAGGTATAAATTGCGCACCGATTACTGTCGGACTTGTGATTGTGTTTTAAATTCAGTAATTGGCGCGCAGTTTGTATAAAAATTAAAAATGGAAGATGTATTTAAAATTTACATAAAAATATTATTAGACATCAAGATTTAGTCTTCGTATTTTGTGCTCTGTTCATTCAAAATTTATTCATATAGCAATCTAGTGCAACTTATTATTATATATAGAATAAATTTTATTTTCTAACAAGAAATTTTTCAAGGTTGATTTTGTTCGCAAGTACCTTTCGCAGAAGTTACATTGAAATGCATTATTTATATATGTATATTGTGTGTGTAAGGGAAAAATGCTTATATACCGTAAGAAACAATTGGCCTTACGATCTCTGTACAAAAATAAGATATCTTTAAGATATATTTCCTCATTAAAATTGTATCAGTAAGATTATCTTTACACGTATAAAATAGGAAGTATTCTTAATGTACGTGTGCTGATAAAAGATATCTTCACGTAATATACGATAAAGAATATTCCGTTTTCGAACAGCTCGCAATGAAGGAACTTATCTTCTTTTCCGATTTTTCTTATTTATTACATGCTACGTCATTTTTATACGCAATTGACACTAACTAAACATGTTATTGCAATCTTGTTGACATTATCATATTTATCATTTGTGCAATATTCTCGGTTCAATAAATATATAATTTTTAGTAGAATTGATATAAAGTGTTTCACTCATTGATATAAAGTGTTTCACTCATTGAAATTTGCAATTGATTAAAAAGAGATTTCTATATTAAAACTTTTTGCTAAAATCGATTGATGTATAGAGTATCTTAGATTTTTATCGAACAATCCATTATGCTAACGAAAACAAAATATTTGTCTATAATTCAATTTAAAGCTAATATGAGCGAATGTAGACGCACTCGCGATAAATTCCTTTCAAATTATGTTAATAAAAAATTCAAAAACATTGTCAGAGAAGTATTATAGATTCTATTCATACTTGTAGAAGACTTGTAGAAGACTGTCGTACGTACAAGTCTCGCGTTGAGTGTTTTTCATGCGAGATAAATATACAAGTGGCGAAACCAGCTGTAAGTATATATGTAGATATAAATTACGATCACTTTCAACGACTTTAACACGTTCACTTGAATGTCCATTTGAACTCTTTATAACCTCACGTCCCCTCTATTTGATATTGCTTACTTAAATATATATTGTGAGGATGCATTCTTCTCTGACTTTTATAAATTTAATTAAGAATTTTTTTAATCGTATATACCATATACTATCGTGCAGTATAAGTGATCACAAAGAAAGCAGATTTTCTGCTTTCCAAGAACCAGTCAAGTTTACTGGCTTTAGTTTATTGTATCTTTTTCGCCCGTAAGCCAATCGGTGGTACAGTTATCAGAAAGGGGAAAATCTGCTTCCGTTGTGCTTGTATCCTATTATAACTTATGAATGTACGATCTAAACGAAAATATGTCTTTGTCTGATATATAGATCGTGAACGTAAATATTAAACACAGTTCAAATATATTAGATGAATATTTATGTTATATGTAGATATTATAATATTAATACTATAACTTTAATAAAGTAATTAGGCTGGTGTTTTTTACGTAAAGTATTTTGCTTATGCTATTTTACTACTTATGCTAGCTAGCAAAGATGATAAGACATAGGATATCTTGTATACTCTTTGATATGAAAATCTTCAATTTTAGGTAATTGTTTGTTCCATTCAAACTTACGCCATTCTCGAATAACATCTTTAAAACACCGTCATCTATCTTGCTCTCCTTTTCCATTTTTCGTACAACTGGAGCAATTTCCTCCTTAGCCAGTTTAGCAACTGAGAATATATAAAATTTAAAAAAATACAATACGAATATATGAATTGAAATATGCCGATATATATATAGCGAGATAATAAACAGGTTTTACTGATCGACTGCGATCTCGTTTATCATTTACTTCTGACAGGATAAGGAATTGAGATGCACTTACCGGTTTCTTTCATCATAAGCTCATCATCCGTAAATTGCGTTAAGGGGCCTGGATGATGATTGAGTCTTAATGCACATAAATGTACTTTCCGCGTTCGTGTCAGCCTTTGCGGTATCTGCAACATAGATATTTTCGTTCTAAATATCGCTTCATTTAATTAAAATAAATGTGTTAATTAAAATAAATAGGAAACATACTTGTATTTGTTCTAATCACATGTATATTAAAAAGAAAAAAACAGATTTTTTATCTTGCCTGTGCTCCAGAAAAATGTGTTAGTGCACGCTAAAAATTAATGTTCAGTCTACCAATATACGTTATAACGTGTTATTTAACCTTAGGAGTAGGATGTGACGTTCAATTACATAAAGTGAACATATTCAGCAAGAGAATAAACGGTTGATTTCAGATATTATATAACGCGTAAATATATACATGCAATATATGAGATAGAAAGAAAAATAAAGCACTCTCGAAATACATTATTTTTTCTAACGTTTTATCTTTGATTCGTCAATGCTGGAAAATACAGCCGAGTATTTGATTTGATAAACTGCTGAAATATTAAACGGTAAACGATATCGATAATTTAAACGCGATAAAAAAGTATAGTTATAAGCTACGAAATATGTGTATATTCGCTTCTCTCCTAAGTTTATATACTTTTACACATATAATACGTAAACACATAAAATTCTTCAGCACTTTGTATATTTTGAGAATAATGTAATTGAAGAAATTAATTTACTTATCGTGATTATTGCAAGATGTTTTGTAGAAAAAGAGATACAAGTGTAATTAAGCAATCACTTGTCACGAGCGGATAAGTTATATAAAAATAATAATATGGTATATAGTGACGGATGAAAAACGTCACGTCACAACTATATAGTATATAAACATAATCACGTGTTCTGGGTTGAAATCTTTTGATCATTTTAGAAAAAAAAAAAAAAAGCAAACGGTTCAGTTTTAGGAAACTCAGTAAATTTAATGGAACGACGACGAGAAAGGACTATGCGTGCTCACGTACTTCGCGGAAGGCGGATCTCAAAACTGATGCATTCATCGTTCGTGTAGCGTCTTCCTCTGGAAGGATTCTTGAAGATACGAGGAATTAACGAGTGTATGCTGTTCACAGTTCGCAGGCTGCGTTAATACTGAGCAAGATGATTTGTTGTACGTCAGACCGACCTCGTCGCTTCTGCCGGTCGAGCGAAGCCGATCGGGATTGATTCTTTCCATAACAGGTTTCATTACTGCGCAATGAAGAAATCGCCTAAAGCTGTCTATACTTGGGGTATATACTTGCTTTTTTCTCCCTTCGTTTACTTGTGCGGTATTATAACGTGTCCACATACTGTTATCCTATATAATTAAAATTAATTGAAGTTGACTAAATTGGCTCTTTCAATTTCAATGAATGTTCGCATCCAATTGCAAGATGCTTTTATTGTTAAGTATTTTTTTTTCTGTTTAACCAGTTGTCTAAATAATCTTTGCATTGACAGTTAAAATATATTCAAACAACATGGCTTTTTTTTAGCAACGAAACATATTCGATATGCTTCGATTTTGTCACTGTCAGTGGTCTCGATAACGCTGGCATTTTCAACGAAATATTACGAAACTGTACGTTATCACAATGACGATGAGTGTTTTGTCAACGATGCGATCTTACAGTCTTTTTAAATTTCCTCTAATATGTGCTAATTATATTTTTTATGTATGTTAAACGTTATTATATAACGTAAAATCATCAGTAAATGGATTTAAAATTGAATTCGACAAACATATATGATTTTTATGTTACTATAAACGATTTAGTAAGTCGGATATTATTTTTGCATGTGAGTTCACATATTTTATCAGTTTTCGTGAAAGTTATATAAATTTATTTGTATACGATAAAATTAAATTAATTTGAATTAATTAAACATTTAAATTAAATATTTAATCTATGTATTTCTCTAATCTATTTTGGAACCTCTGTTGTTTGTGTATTTCAGAATTTCATAATGAATACACAAGGATATATCGATTTATTCCAAAATAAAATTTGTTATTGTAAAGTATCATTTACATTGAAACAAACAAAATGAAAATAACCGGTAATTAATTCAACTAATTTTACATTGATAACAATAAAATCATTGAACACGTAAGAATATACTATATAACTTATTGATCAAACTTCAACTAACTTAATTAGTGATTTGTTCCGTAATATGTATTATTTTATTAATATGGACAACAATTAATCCTTCTCATTATTTCATACGGAAGAAAAGTTATTAAAGAAATCACACACACACACACACACACAAATTACAGATACTGAGTTATACTGCGGCAGTTATATACTTTATAACAGTCGATTCTCGATAACCGACATATACACGTAATCGTTTAGATTATAAAAGAATTATGATAAAACGTTTTTATTTATTCATTTTATCTAATATTTATTATTATATAATATCTGCATTATCTATATAAATGTAAACATTCTAAACTTATTTTAATCGCATACATATCTATGAGATACGCATTTCTTAGATAGTGTTTTTTACAAGATACACACTTAAAGCGATGCTGGAGAATTTAATCGATGTCTATAAAACAGATTTTTAATTCCAATTAAAATATTACATACATCAAGAAAATATTTACATACATTAAGTAAAACATTATACGTACATTAAATAAGCCATATTAAAAGGTAACGCTATTCTAGAGCTCGAAAAAAAGACGTTATTTTTGATAATTTTTTACAAAGATACAATAAAGAAAATGGGAAATCTGTAGGAGTTTATTATACATGTTCTGAAATATATAAAAAAATGTTTAACATTTTTAAACAAAATGGCGGTTACATGACATGAAACTCGAAACCAAAGCCTCTCGCCGAAGGGGCTTCATAATCGGAAAAGTTTCTCCCATAATTTTCAATCTGAAACAAAAAATCAAAATTTTTTGAAATTTATATATGATTGGCTACAGAAGCACGTAGAGGATTTTGAAAATATTAAATTTTTTAAATGTACTTATTTAAAAAAAATTCATTTTTTGGTAAAAAAAATTTTACCTTAAAAAACATTAAAATCTATGAATGACATATAATATTAAAAATCTGTAAATAATATTTTACATTGCGAAAAATATTACCCTGTCTGAAAATCGAATATCTGGCATTCCGTGCAAGCGTCCTAAGTAAAACTTTAGACTACCAGCCTCGATAATATTTTTCGCAATAAAATTAATTATTTACAGATTTTTAATATGTTATTCAACATTATTAAAATCCAAAATGCAATGAGCATCAAAATTGTTAGATTGTTAATCAATATTTAACTCGTGATAGTACTGCGGTAGTTTATTATAGAGTTTGCGTTGTAAGTCTGAAAAGAATTTCGGCGCGCATTTAGGAACCTATATACGTAGTATATAAATTCACCCGAAATTATGCATGTTAGAAGCATCCAAGATTCAGCTTGATCATTACGGTATGTTCTCATATCGATATTTAATTTAAAATTTTCGCGGTCCAATAAGATTTGATATTGTTTCTATACATCACATTCTATTAAAAATTAAAAAGAGACATCTCGTACTTTTGTACATACGTTCTAATTCAAAATAGACGTCAAAATTGACTCTGTTGACAATTTGCTTACTTCATGACGATTGCCACGATTGACGGTAGATGGCGCCAGCGGTACGTGCGATTTACCGAAGCTTTTTCAGACGGCCGCTTGGTGTCCGTCCTTCGTCGTTGTCGTTTATGGCATTCATGGCTCGTTCTGGATCTGATCGCGCAGTGTTTACTCGAAAAGTGTTCACGATCAGTAACAGTGACCGGTGGTGACCGGTAATAATCGGTAGGTAGACGTTTTCGCAATCGATTCCGCGCGTTTTCGTTACGCGGCGCGGAAAAGAAACATCACGACTACGCGATCTTACCACGATCTTCCTCTCTGGTGAGGAGGAATCCGTTCGCCGCGTGAAACATTGCGTTCGGCGGTTTCGAGAATCGCCGCCGGAACGGTACCGTGTAGCATCATCGCGGTTCGTCGATGCGTGGACGGTAAATTTCGCCCTGCTGGACAGAGTGACGGCGGCGGCGACGACGACGGCGGCGCCGGTGGAGGCAGAGACAAGAGGCGGTGGCGGCGGCGGCGGAGGAGGAGGAGGCGGGGGGAAGCTGTTCATCGAACGGAACAGCCGCGCGCGCGGTGGAGCGGCGATACGGAGCGGAGGAGCGCGGCCTGAGCTGCGTTCGTTGTACGGTAGTTGGTGAAACGGGCGCGGGCATATCACGGGATAGGAGGAGGCGGCGGCTGGCGGCGATTCCTTGGTAGGTAAGTTATGTCCGATATACGTGCGGCGGTCGACCGCCGACGGCCATCCCTGATTCGCGCGGAACGGGAGTCTCGCTCTCATACCTCTCGGCGTTCGCCGCGGCTCCGCCGTTTGCCTTCGCGCTCGCCGATGAATGACGTAGGCGCGAGGGGTGTGTCGGCCCTTGTGTGTCTCTACCGCTGTACACGCAACGGCGCCGTGCCGCGCCGCGTCGCGACGCGACGTGGCCCACGCGACGTTCCGTCGCCGTCAATCACCGTCGCGCGTCGGCTGGAGCCGCGCCGACGACCGACGTTGCTCGAGTCGTCGGGCTCTTACGTTTCGTTCGGACTCCCTACGTTCGACTCCGAATGGAAGTCGGGAGATCCTTGAAATTTCGTACTCCCTCCTCCCCGAAAATGTCGCCATTTGCACGGCCCTCTGTCACCGCCAGTCATCACTCACCGTCTGCGTCTTCGAGCGCGCGGCCTCGGTCCCTTCATCCCCGTGATGTTACGTTCCGAGTACGTTCTTTATCGTGCTAACTCGATGGACGGTGATCGACGCTTCTCGGGTTAAAGTGGTTTAAACGTTACGTCGTCGCGCTTGGCTAATTGCTCTCGTCCGTATCAGTCTCGTATACTTATTGTATCGCCGCGTTTTCAACCTGTCGTCGTAAGTAAACGGGATTGATTGGGAGCGCGAGACTGCTTCCGTTGTGTCGCGTCGCGTCGCGAGAGTAGCTTTGCGTATCTCGTCGTTATAATTTCGCTAGAATTCCAATCCGTGACGCGTCCTGCTAGCTGTGGACCTGTAGGCTATACATAGATTTAAAGAGAGAGAGAGAGAGAGAGAAATATAATCATTGTCGGCTTCTCTCATGATTTGTATATGTTTTGATGATTCACGTATTTCGATATTGTCGATCACGTCTGTTAATGATTGCCGCAACAACAGGTTTTAGGTCGAACGACCTACGTTCGAGACTCGAGACAGCCGCTTTAAACGAGCCTTTCCAACGTAGATAAAAATTAATACGTGTAAACAAGAACGCGATATGAAACGCTCGACGGCTCTTTGAAACTTTTAGAGTGAATCTCACTCTTAAAAGATCTTTTTTATTATTCCTGCAACTGGGCTGCACTACTTTCTTTCTCGCTTTCACCAGATGTCAAACATATATCTGTCTCACTTTAACTTCCAAAAGTGTAGAGTTTAGCCACGCACAAAGAAGACACAGATTCATAAAGATTGAAAATTGAGCTATTCCTTTTTCAAAGACTGGCTGAATTTTCACTTTTTGTGGGATAAAAGTGGGATTTTGCTCTAAAGAATTTAAAGAGAGAGCGTAAAAATCGCCGACAATCGATGATCGTTTTTATAAAGTATATCCACTCCGCGTGACCAATTGTGCCTCCTCTCTCTCTCTTTCTTTTTCTCGGCGACTGTTACTTTCATTTCTCTCGTAACTGATAGCGTTTCAGGACGCTCGCTCACACTACGACAGCGACGGGCGTAATCTGCGATTAACCATGACGTCATTGCGTTAAGTGTCTGCCGCCGCGCCGCGTCGTCCGGCCGGTCGAACGCCCGTCGTCGGACGATAATCCATGTTTGCGCGTCCGTTTTGGCGTGTGATGTCAGCATTATTAAAGCGACTGCAGATATTCATTGGCATGATGCCATTTTGTCAAAAGTCGCCATCGGCCGATCGGCCGATGGCGACTCCAGCGATCGTCGTTGAAAACCGCTTCCACAGATCGACATGTCCGATTTATCCTCGTTCATCGGCATTATCGATCGCTCGTTCCACTGCACCCCGATAATTACGTACTCTTGGATGATAATTCGACCAACGAACTCGAAGAAAAGATCAGCTAGCTTGGAGCGATATTCGTAATCCAATCTTATATTTAAGATCATCTTAATTACGATCTTTTGAAGTGTGTGTGTGTGTGTGTGTTTGTGTGCATACAGAGAAAAATGTTCTGGTTAAACCACCAAAAAAATCCAGCCAGAATTGCATCTTGATGAGGCCGGAAATTTATGATAATCGGAAATTCGCTTCTTATGGTAATCAATGATTTCGTCTCACATCAAAATGCTGTTCTAATTGGGTCTTGTTATTGATTTAGTTAGAATTTTTTTTTCAGTATTTATAATGTTATTTTAGATTTTTTTTATTGACTTCGGATAGAATCTTGAGATTCTAGATTTTTATCGATTTGTGTTTCATTCCTAGTGTTTCTTGTACGTCACTCTTTACACTTCAAATAAAATAGATATATATTTGATTTTTACACAAAAACGCAGCGAAACGTTTTGATTGAAAATGAACGAATCAGAGAAGTCTTATCATAATATCAATAAGATTTCTAGTTATCTCCAACTAGAATCAGAATAGATTGAACCAGATAATTCTGATTTGTTCATTTCAATCGAAAAGCAAAGTACAGCGGTAAAAAAATAAACTTTACTCGGGATGATCTTGAATTTAAAATTAAACTACTATACACTTACCATCCATAGAGAACAAAAACTACAAAAAAAGGAGCTTTGTTTAACACGATGTGTATTTATATTTAGAAACTATTAGTGAGAATCAATCGTTGAAAAATCTTACAATAATTGCCAGGCTGTTTTTTCTTTTTCTTTTTTTTTCTTACTAAAGGCAGTCAAATAAAAGGCTTTTGCTCTTCGCTGACTGGACTGCTCTAAAACTTTCTATCTCGCTTTTGCCAACTTGAAATAGCTATTTCGTTTCAAGTGTGACGAGCTTCTGCTAGTTCAGGTACAAAGAACAGACCCATAGAACTCAAATAAATCGGCTTGAAAAACTCGCATCTCTCGGGCCTGCGAACAAGTGCGAGTGAGACAAGCACGTGTGCAGGTGCACACGAATGCACGCGCTCGCACGTACGCACTGCGTATACGATTACGGGTTGCGTAAGGGATCACTAATCATTGTATCATACGAGTCCCCGCGTCGAGCCGTCCCCACAACACGCATCATTTCAAGCCTTTCCCTCATTTTTTTCTTCGATCACGATCGCTTCTGTCTTCTGCATACACAGGCCGACCATCGGATTAAAAAATAACGTCTATCTATCGATCATTAATCGTGGATTTACAGAACGCTCTTCGTTGTTTCAGTGCCGCTTAAAGTGAAGGTGAGGTAGGAAATCGTACACGCGATTCCTGATACCTGGAACGAGAGAAAGAAGCGGGAAACGCGCGGATCATCTTCGACTCCGTCCCTGGTCCCTCTCTATTTTAAGACGAGGACTAACAGACTCGCGCCAGTAAGCGTAGCGAACTCGGCTCGTGATCGCTTTCATTCAGCTTGCGGTCAGACCCGCATTGTCCCGTTATCACCGAAGATAAGCGTTATTTACGAATGGGACGCGACTCCGGGAAGATGGAACTCTACTGATCGGAAATAGAAGTCGCTGTTGTTAATTGCGTTGCTTCGGTTCGCAGTTATAGAACTTCGCCGAGGTACGGCCGCACGAACGGCTGTGAATATGCAGGGGAAAACTGATGATTACTTCTCTCTAAATTCTTTGAAGTGAAATCTCAGAGACTCTGCACATATTAGACGAAATATTAGAAATAGCTATGAATATTAAAATGTCGATTTATCAAAACCGCGTATTCCGGTGTAACTGCGGTTTCTTTTAAGTTGAAATCTTATAAGACACTTCTCACTCTTTATTTCTAAAGAGTGAAATTTCTCGAGAGAGTTCAAAAGCATAATCGAGCTAGTGATTTACACGTTATGGAAACCTATCCCTTCGTCTGCTCGAAAAAAGTTGTCATTGTGGTCGAGCATTCGTTGTTTATAAACATACATACATTATGTTCCTGTTGACGTAACGTTCTTTTTTTTTTCGTCGATTGCCACTTGGTTAGTATCGGTACCAATATTATGGCATCGTATCATGCTGTCAACGAAGCCAAACGCGCGTACAAACGAGGGACTTAAACGAAGCCACTTACTCCGAATACTTCATCCCCTTAACGTTAATTACCATCAATTCGCACCGAGGCACCGTTCACGGTCGTCACTGCATTTTTTTTTTTTCTATGCGATATTTCCAAATTGAATTCGGTCAAAGTATATCGAAAGTACATACATATATCTTGGTTGACGAAAGAGAATCGTTGTCGTGCGTTTCTTGTACTTGGCAACATTTCAAATGGCGATACTCTGCAAATACCAGGCGTTATTTTCGCGTTAGATACCATTTGCGTTTGCTAGCTATTATTTTATACATATATAAAATTAATATAACATACCAATGTCTCTCTTGCAATCAATATTAATATTTATCTGAAATAAACATTAAAGTATCAATTTTATTATAATTAATATTGATACTAGTAATAAAAATATCTGTATACAAGCACATGTACAAAAGCAAAAATAGTTTCAAGACGTAATACAATGATGAGATAATCGACGAATATAAATCTCACACGTGAAACGCGACTCTGTCTTGATATCGAGTAAACACAATATTAAGACTCTAATTTGTCTATCTCACCTTAAGTCCACGGGATTATCGATTACTATTCCGACAGAGCATCAGAAAATACGAGGCATACACGTATATATGAGGAAAGAATTTTGGTCCTTGCAATCGGACGGGTTCAATTGTGTTTCGCGCTTGCGTGCTACGCAATACTGTGGTCAGCCGTCGTGTTTTGTCTCTCTCTCTCTCTCTCTCTCTCTCTCGTTTCTTTTATTCATTGTTGCATGTTGTTGCAGCGGAAGTGCACACGCATGACGCACGTTTTCCGGAGCGGTAACAAGTCGGAAATTCAAGTCACACACAGGCGGCGAAGCGAAAAAAGCAGTCTCGCTGACAATAAGCGACTTGTCAAGTTGCGAGTTTCGTGGCTCCGCCGTGTAGCTATATCGATCTCGATAAGAGAACGTTGTCAGGCGAAAGGGAATACAGGGATTTCGCGAGTATTATTATAGAACGCGCTGTTGTGAGCGGTCACGACGTAACGATGTTCACGCTAGCGAAACATTCAGCGTGGGATTTCCGGCCGATGGATGACGAGGGAAACGCGGCGTGAAAAGGTGAAAAGCGCGATACCGTAGGCCGTATAGGATGAGGACGCGCGCGTATAGACGGGTGCGAGAGTGTTGCGTGGTGCGATGCACCGGTACTTGGCGTAAGCATAAGGAAAGCCAAGCGGTGAACGACCGTTGACACAGATCCCGAGCTCAGCGAACGTCGCGGCGAGTAAAATAGCCGGCACAGTTGAGCATTCTATTTTACATCGTTAACGGGACGACGCCTGCTGCACCAGTAATTAGTAAGGGAGGAAAAAAAGGGAGGGAGGAGATCGAATGACAGACGTGGAACCTTCGAAACCCCCTCGAGTAAAGGGAATCGCGTCGTAACGCGTACACGGTGTTTGCGTCGTCGTTGCACGCACACGATTCCCGGTAGGGCCCCGCAACTTTATTGATCGCACACCGGTAAGGTGTCCATACCTCGCACCGGATTCGGGAGAAACGAGTATAAATGCCACTTTCGCGTACACGAAACCGACGAAACGACATGCTTCGACGAAACTGCCCTAAAACAGACCCTTCGTTGCTTTCAGCTTTTAATCGTTCTGGTAGAATCCATTCTTCATTGTTCGCTGTTCTTAGAACAGACGCGTTAAGAAATCTTTCATTTGCCACGCGAAGCAAAATTGTTTACTTGATATTACTTAAAAATTCAATATTCATTAATATTAATTTAATATTAAATATATTATTAAATTGATATTAATTTTATTAATGCTTCTTTCTTTCGTGCTTTCGCACGTTTCTACTTTTAACGACTATTACAAGAAGTCTATGGAGTAGTAAACCATAAGAAATTGACCAATCATAGTCGAATGTGAGGAGAATAATTGACTGTGATTGATCAATTTCTTAGGACTATTCAGACTTGCATAACTGCATAAACGTATGCATAAAGAAAATTATCCAATCACATTTTTTCTTATATGTATATAAGTGTGATAGAAGTTCAATTGTCTGTATAATTGGATAATTTTCTTTACGCCCATGTGATTAAGCTATGCAAGTACGTCTAAACTCTAAACAGATCCCTAAGACTCACTACTCTATTAATAGATAGACATCGCTTTACACGATTTGGAATAAGTAATGTCGAAATGCCATCAAGATTTTTGCTAGTTAGTGATGATATTAGAACATGATTCTTTACAGTTGCCGGTACTTGTACGAGGCTCGAAGATGGCAGATACGAGCCAACAAGCATTAAGCGAGCCACACACGAATGGAGTGATGGACGGTTTGACGGAAGATGAAAAAAGTAAGATGAGACCCGCCGATATCGATGCGGTAAGTTTCGTGGAATATACGGCGATTCAATATCTCTTCATTAATATAGAAATCGAGGAAAGTTTAAATTCAATGGTTATTTATTCCAATTTCGCCTCAATGTGAGAAAGACTTGAAACTTGAAAAACAAACGAATTAATCCAACCGTGTAAAAATGTATTAAGGAGAATTCTATTCTATACTATTTACAGGATATGAGAGAAATGGAGAGGAGAAAGAGGGTCGAGATGATGATGAACTCACGAATCTTCCGGGAAGAGTTGGAACGTATAATTGAGACACAGATGAGGGACGGTGCTGGACCCTCTGGTCTCCTGCAACAGATCTCTGACATGATGGGTGCACAGGGAGCCCGATTTAACGGCAATGTGTTCAAAAGTTAGTCCTGCTTCGTTGCAAATTATTATTTTCACGGAATAATAATCCTCCCTCTAGTCTGATTTTATTTTAATTCATTATTTCGGTTTATTCGGAAATGTGCAGATTCGAATTGCGTCTTGCCTATCAACGACATTCGTGGCGTGGAAAGCATGGGATACGCCAAGGGCGAGAAAGTATTGCGATGTAAGATGGCGGCGGTCTTCAGATTGCTCGATCTCTATGGATGGACGCAGGGCGTCGGCGGGCAAATAACCGCTCGTCTTAATCAGGACGAGGAGCACTTTTTGGTGAATCCTTTCGGGCTACTCTATCACGAGGTTACCGCCTCGAGTTTAATCAAGGTGGACATGCAGGGCACGATTGTCGAGCAGGGGACGACGAACTTTGGCGTGCACATCACTGGTTTTCAATTACATTCGACAATACACGCTGCGAGACCCGATATCAAGTGTATTATTCATATTACTACTCCGTCCGTTACCGCTGTGAGTAAACGTTTCGTCTCTAGTTTCTGCGATGATCCATTTCTCGTTTGTCTCGTATATCTCATATAGCTTTTACGAGCGTTTGCATATTATGCTCGATTGCGTGATGTCACTTTAATACACTTTAATAGCGATTGATGATGAACATTTATTAGCTCTGCTTTGAACGAAATTGACTGACGTACGCGTGATATGATACGTAGGTATCCTCCTTGAAGTGTGGATTGTTACCAATCGGTCAAGAGAGCATAGTGATAGGAGAAGTGAGCACCCATCAATACATAGGAGGTTCCGTCGAGCCGGAGGAACGGGAAAAGATCGCTAGAAATCTTGGGCCGATCAACAAGGTTATGCTCCTAACGAATCGCGGTGCCCTTTGCTGTGGAGAAACAGTGGAAGAAGCGTTCTTTAACGTTTACAATACCGTAGTTGCCTGCGAGACGCAACTCAAACTAATGCCCGCAGGTGTAGATAATCTAAGCCTTATCAGCGAGGAATCGAAAAAAGCTATATTTGAAGCGTCGCGAAAACCGCCGATTCCGCAACATACCTCAGCGGTAGAGTCGTCCGCTCTCGCGGAGAAACTCGAGAAACGCTGGAGAATCGGCGGTGCTGAATTCGAGGCCCTTATGAGAATGCTTGACAATGCTGTAAGTTTGCCCTAGAGACCCATCTATCGCTATACTTGTATCACTGATTCACCTGTCGCGTTTCTTTTTTTTTTTTTCAGGGATTCCGTACGGGCTACATATATAGAAATCCACTTGTAAAAGGAGACCCCCCGAAACCACGAAACGATGTTGAAGTTCCACCGGCCGTATCATCTTTAGGATATCTGCTTGAAGAAGAGGAATTATATAAACAAGGGTAAGTTTTTACTTCTCTTCGAACATATTTTGTTTCAATACTATAGAACGCTCATTAATGGAATAATTTTTCTTTTCTCAAATAGGCTGTGGAAGGGCGGACGTAAAGGCACAGACAGATCCCGTTGGTTAAATTCGCCAAATGTTTATCAGAAAGTTGAAATCCTGGAAACTGGAACACCCGATCCTAAAAAGATCACCAAGGTAGAAGTCATTACTTTTGAGAATAAGACCGACTAATTATTTACCGCACGATTTTTCGCTCGAGGCTAAATTTATTATAAGCAAACATTCATATTTGGCAAATATAATCGCGTATTGTGGCTGCTAATCAGATTACGACTTGCGTCGTATAACGAAGGAAAGAGAAAGCTTTAAATGTGTCAAGTGCAAAATTAAATGACATTAATATATACATATATTAATAGTTATAACGTATATTGATATGTACAAGTAGATTGTTTATTAGATTAATTTTTTCCATCAATTTTTAAAGTTCGATTTGAGAATATAAATCTGTTTTATAGACCTTTTGATAAATATTTCCTTTTGCGTTTGTATCGCAAATTTAACTTCAAATTTAATAGAAAACATTTTGTCGATATTAGATTTTCGCGAATTTAATACCACGGTAATGTTATTAGGATTTCTTAATTCGTTTTCCGTGAATAATAACTTTATTTTATCGAACAATGTTGAAGATATTTTTAGCGATGATTGAGAAAGACGAATGCGCATATTTACGGCCGTAAATAGATAGTATATTCATATATGCAATGCGACGTAAAGCATTGGTTATTCCATTTTGTTAGCAGTCTGTTGCATTTTATCACGCTGTGTTGTATAATTTTATCTTGTTTTTATCAAATTTTTTTATTCTGTTCAATTTTATTATACAAGCACATACAAATATGTGGTAATTCGATTATCCATATCAATTTCAAACACACATTCCATGCTATTAATTTTTAACATGCTGATAAATTAAACGTTAAAATCTACTTTTTAAATTATGTAATTATTTTAATTTTGGCAAACGTCTCATTGAACAAACAGTATAATATATCATTATATTGATGTTGGTTATACTGATATATACCTATATTTGCTCTTTTTAAACTATAGATATAAATCTAACTCTTGTTACAACAGAGCTTGATTGACATTATTTAATAAAAGCTTATTAATGCGATATAACGAATTCCATAAAACTTCATTAATAAAAGCTTATTAATGCGATATGACGAATTACTTGAAAGTTCAAAGGTGAAGCAAAAATCACATTTTCTATGCTATGGCCAATGTGTTTATATGTGCCTGTGTGTATGCACATGCGTATGTGCTTTATGTGTGTAAACATTGGTCACTTTATATCGTACCCGATATTAACGAAAAAAAAAATATATATATATATATCATGTTTATTATCTAAATTATATGCCAAAATTTTTTTGATGCACAAATTTTTATCGACATACGTACAATGTAACTGTCTCGTAATATGAAAATTATTGACTAATATAATATGAATTATTATCATTGCATTATTTCTTATTTTATAGGCGCAATAAAAATGTAATATTTTTTTATTATAAATTTATTTGTATTTCAACAAAGATTAATGATTAGATACGTAATTCATTTTTCCAAATCGTTTTTTTTTAACGTATATCACTATTTACATATAAACAAAAATAACAAATCGTTTACAATGATGTATAATAAGAACAATAATAAAACATACAAAACGAGAGATAGAACGAAAGCGGTTAATATTTCCGCAAGTAAAAGTTACGAAACATTAACGTGTTGAATTTCAGTCAATCGTTAGTATAAGCTATATAAGTATCTTTATATATATATAAGATAATAACGACTGTTCTTCTGTAGCTTCTTGATGTTTAAATAAAGTTATACGTGCTGTTTAAAGAGGATTATATCAACTTTAATGAAACTTCAACTTTAATAGCGTTCCAAGCACTATTTTTAGCCTGTAGACGCCGTTACATTAATAAATTTAGCGCTTTCTATAACATGATGCGAAGTTATGTGTATGTTGTCGTCTACAATATATTTATTGACACTTACATGATTTTGAGATTATCTCTTCTGCGAAATTATCCCCTATCAGGAGTAATTTTATATATAATTTTGGGGTAAAAAATTTCGTACGTTTAATAAAAGTGCAATATAGAGTTTTGTTTTCTTTTGTTACTATATAAGATATAAAATAATAATTTAATATACTGTACTGTATTCTGCTTAAGTACGTTTCAAACGTACTTTTGCCACATTAGTTATAAAACTTATGCACAAAACATATATAAGTGTTTCTCATGACTCTGTATGAATGTGTGCCTGATCTCATCATCAAGATCTAGTTGGCCTGGTTACACAGAGCCCACTGCATTTACAAAACCAGATCAAGTGACCCTTCACATTTCGCAAATTTAAGCTGTTTTTCTTAAAATTAAATGTTAGGCATAGCAATTAATGTTATTAAATCGTCGAGTTTTACGTTTGTAGCAGCATTGCATGTAATTGTATTGAATTTTGTTTTGAATCACTCTATCTTAAGACATCGAATATGTACAGTTGTATTATGATTTATGTAAAATGTGAATTGCAACATGGCTGCACTAACAAAACTATTATGTTGAAAATATATTTTCTAGTTTTAATTATTATGGAATAATCTATTAAAAGAGGAGAGAGAAATATATGCAGCAGGCACACATAGCATGCAAGAGTCTTACTTTATGTTAATATAATTGCTTCTTATAATGGTTTGAAGGGGGTCGACTAATGTTCTGGTTTTGTGTGTGCAGTGGGTGTCTGATGGATCTCCTACTCATAGCAGCACACCAGTCAAGATAGACAGTGCTCTTCAGTTTGTTCCGAAAAATACCAACCCAAAGGAATTTAAACAGTTACAACAGCAGGTAAGTATTGCCAATTATAATATATTTGTATCATACACCCTACTTGTCTTTATGTCTGCTCTTTTCACATATCAGCTAATTTGTATAAATGAAGACGTACAAGTTTGATATACTTTTGTCTTCTTAGATTAAAGATTATCGACGAGCAGAGAAAATATCGGCTGGTCCGCAATCCCATATATTGGAAGGTGTATCATGGGAGGAAGCTAAGAAAATGCAGGTACACGAATTTAAGTATTGAGTCTTTTTGATTCAAACCAATTTAGATACATCCCATTTAATTAGCAATAATCACGTACTATTCTGGTTTGAATTTGAATTGAAACGATAGCATCTTTTTGACTGTTAGTTACTTTATAAATCCCTGCAGAAAAAATGTATGTTATCGTTAATTTGCATACTCGTTGTTTACAAGGACGCGACAATTAGTGGTACCGGAGAACAAGTAGTTTTAGTAGGAGCCGCTAGCAAGGGTATTATACAGCGTGGTTTCCAACACAATGCGATGGTGTACAAGACACCTTATGCCAAAAATCCTTTCGACGCCGTCACGGATCAAGAATTGGATCAGTATAAGAGAGAAGTCGAACGCAAACAGAAGGGAGATCCTTGTTAGTTCTATTCATCACTTTTCTCATATCAACCAATCTTTTCTCGTATTTATGCATGCGTCTTATATTTGTATCCTGTACCTTAGAATACTCTGTATCCACTTAATGTTTACCGAACGTTAAACGGAGCCATTAATGTCACCTATTCTGTAAATAGACGATGAATCACAATCAGAATCCGAGGCCTTGTCATCCTTTAACATCAGTCGTGCGACGCATGAATCCAGCACTGCCAAGAGTCCTATTCAGTCACCAGTTTCTGTTACTTCAGAAACAGAGGAGGAGAGTAGAGACGGTAAATTTATGTGTTTAATTCACGGGTTTCCATACATATCATAGAATGTAGCACATTTTGACCTTTTAATATACACACACACACACATATATATATATATATATATACATTTTTATTTTCTAATTTCATTAACGTATACTCGCGTGTACTCCTTTGCTACAGAACCCCGAGTATTGAGAATAGAAACGAAACAAGTGCCTGCGCCGAGTCAACCCGAAGTTGTGCTAAGCGATGGTGAGTCTTTCCTTATCTTTTTTTCTATTTTTTTTTTAATTCTTCCCCAAGTAAACGTTGTACCGTCTGCCATAAATTTCTTAATGAGTGGTTAGTAAAGTTACGAGATAAGACGTTTGCTTTAATTTAACTCCGGTTCTTGCATGGCCATAACTTTATTTATGAGCAATCCGTCTGATATGTGCATCTTTGCCTTTTCACCACTAATCATTAAAATACAGCACGTTACGATCGTGCATGAAGACATATAATTTTGCACGAGTTAATTGGTGTTTGTCTAATTTGTAATGATAAATACTCAGATAATTCGCAAGGTGAATACACTTACATCAATACTATTGTACATAATAGTGTTTATCGAGCGTGACGTAACAACTTTGGATCACAAGGAGCATTTTACTGATAAACAGGTGTAAATCGTATACATATTTATTTTTGATATGCAGTGAATGATGCTACTACAGAGTACCTTAATGAGATGCGCTACAGAATGACTGAGCGACAAAGCGGTTATAAAGGAGGTGAGTTCTTTTCTATACGGGGAAATGGGGATGAATCTAATTTATCATTCTGAATTATTCTTTCATTCATACTGTTTACGATGTTTAACTGAAAATATCCGAAGTTATTCATAAAATAACTAAACTGGACATGCGATTTTTTCACAATTAATGAAAAATGAATAATTCTAAGAAGAAAATGTTTTACAAAATTTGATTATTTACCCGTGAATATGGTGCTTGATGAACCGCAATATAAAGGCATTATCTTCAGTTTAACTTCGTACATAGTTCTTATACGATTTAATCTTGTTTGCTACATTTCATCCGGAATAAGCTGCATCTCTTTTAGTATGGAATACGCTCCCCATCCGCAATAATTACATAAAACGCACATATATGCATATCGAAGTTTTAATAAATATGTATATACATTTTCATATCATCACTGATAAAATCAAGTCATGCTTTTGTTTACATTATAAGCACGGCATGTGTCTCGAAAGCTTTTTTGTTTTTTTTTTCACTACTTACTCGAAATAATACTCACGCTTGCATCGATAACTAATGTTCGTGCTCTTTTATTAATCTCTTTTCTTCTTTCTGTATAAAACGTAGAATATTTGAACATTCTCATTTATATATTCAATCTGATATATAAAAATCAAATTCTTCTGGTTTTTTTTCCTAAATGGACAGTTAACGAATAGAAGAATAATCGATTAATATAAATAACTAATCTTTTCTTACGATGAGTAATAGTCATGTGATAGATGAACAAATAATTAGTTTGCGCGCAATACATTTAAACATAAAAATAAAGAGACGCATAGCTAGAGGATGGATGTAGAGCTTCTTCGGCTGCAGCTATCTATCACTACTTGTAGTACTTAGCACAGCGTAAGCAACGAAGAAGACTCACGCGAATGTGGAGAGTATCCAAGTGATCGTGAACGTTCTCTCCGTTTCTCCAAAGCGAGCAAACCGATCGATCGTTCGCCGGTTCCAATGTCCAAAATATACATTTGGACGTAATACTTGCAGATTACGAACTAGCCAGCAATTGCAGCAGCGTAAACAGCGAGTGTGCGCGTAAGTATTACCGCCGGTGGTTCTCCGAGCATCCTTACGATAATCCCCATTTGAAGAACGTTAGAGCCTCGACGATCGCCGAACGAAAAAAACCTCTTCTAATCACACGTACGAAAACGTTCGTTAACGGGCAAATCGAACGGCCAAATGCAGTCTCTCGGGATGACGTTTTCGTTAAGTCGCGCTACGAGGTGAGACGAAAATTTTTCGAAGATCTTGAACAAAGATCTCAAAAGAGTTTTGAAACGGATTGGACAAGAGCGAAGATGACTAAAATTAATAATAAGGAAAACGAATTAATATTTGAAGAAAATTCCATAACAAATTCAAATAAAAATGCTCTTCTTGTCAAATTGTTTGACGTACCATTGACAACCGTAAGCACGAAAGAACACGTTGGGAATTTGAACAACGAGACACAGTCGAGCAATAATGTCGCGGTACATTCTGTGGCATGGGTAAATATCGCGCAACCGAGTTTCGTTAAACGTGTTAACATGGACGAGACAAGGCCGAGTTCGCGTAATATCGTATCCTGCATAAACGGTGACAGTCAGACAGAGGAGAAAATAGAACACCATGAAAGGGCTGAATGTCCAACGATCGAGACGGTTGCTTCCATAAAAACGCAGTCTTCAACAACTCGTTCAGATAAATCGATAGATTCGACAGTCGGCACGAATAACGAACAACAGGATACAGTAACAACAACAATGATAACGAACACGGAAGTGACACTTGCGCACAGCTGCACTGAAACATTTCATCAGCATGATAACGGCGATAACGAGGAAAACTCGCGGTTGCTAAGTAATAATTTATCTTCCAACATTTGTGACGGGTATTCTATCGATCGTTATGAATGCGACGTAGACAATAAGGTGTTGGTAGATAAGGAAATGAATGATGAATTGAAACTAACGGAACTTAAGAAGCAAAACGTTCGAACTTGGATCGAGAATCCCATTTACAACTGGCCGAATAATGCGAAGATTGACTTGTACGAATCATATAATGATATCGCGAAAATTGTCGAGAGTATCGACGTGAATATCACTTCGTCGAGGACGGAGCTGGATGCCTTGCCTGACACGGACACCTGTGTCAAATATAATTTGGACTCGACGAATATGAGTCTCATTTATAGCTTGACCCCACCGGCGGCTGTTGACCAGTACGAGAGCGGCAACGATGACACTTGGCGTGATTTGGCGGATCGCTCATCGGAGTGGCAGTCCGATTCAACGAGAAGTGACGAGTCATTGAGTGATTATATATGGATAGAACCGGAGACTCCGACAACGAAGTCAGAGTGCGTCAAATCTACGCGAGATCACATGTCGTCGAGCGGTAGTAGTTGTGCAGAATTAGAACTACTTGAATCCGAGAGGCATTCGGCAAGCGGTTCCGACATACTCGAGTTACCAAGCTGCACCTTTCGCGAAGTGAAGGATATCGATGGCGAAGTCTTTCTTAACGGAATCAATGAATCTGCCAACGAGATCATCGCCGATCTCAACGCGTCTAACGAAGCGATGCTGCCATCGAGCGACGCTGTCGAAATCTCTCGGCAGATCATCGCCGAGATTATCGAGTCTATTTCTATTCTACAGCATTTCGATTCCTCTATTTACGGCCTCAGCATCATAAGAAAAATGGTGCACAACTTGATCAACAATTGCCAGTGCTCGCTCGTGGAGTCTGTTAATGGAACATGCGTGTCGGATGCTTTCACGAGCAATAATGACAATACTTGTCAAATCAAAGGTTTTCTGGGAAATCTATCGTCGAACTACGACGATTACAATCGTCAGAATTACGAATTGGAGGTATGCGAGCCGGAGGATAACGAGTCTGCTACTGTGATTGAGTTCTGCACCGTGGCGAAGAAATTACCGAATGTCGCCATTGATAATAGCGCTTTGGAATTAAACTTTCGCGTTATCAAAGTCTCGACGGACGAATATGCAAATATGTCGCCAAGTGCTCATCGACTTGATAAAAACTCGATCGACAATGATTATCGCGATATCCAAATCAATAAAACTAGAGGCGGTGAAAGCCCCAAGATGAAATCAGAAACATGGCCGTGCGAACGATGCTCCTATTGCCGCGAGGAAGAGGAATCGATAAGGGAGAAAATGAGTTGTTTGACGCCTATAAGCGAGGAACCGGATGATGCTTTGCATGAGATAGTCGATTCCATCGCGTGCACTTTGAAAATTCGAGATGATGAATCATTGGAAGCCTGCGATATTATCAAAGATGATACGACAGCAAATTCCACAAGGAAGCATGTTTCCCTTGACGACACCTATACGATCTCCGAGGTCAGTTCAGTCGTTATCTCAGATAACGACGAGATGAACGATCTTGAGGAACGATGCAATGTCTGGGATTCCTCTATAGATTGTATGTCGTATTCGTACGAGACCAAAGAATTTATGCGTCTGGAGAAAGCTCTGGCGGACAATTCGCAATTAAGCGCGTAACGCTCCACTTGTCTTTCAGAAAGACGACACTGCGTTCTTCATTCTGGCGACTGTTTAATTGAATTATCAAAGAACATAATTATTGTTTTCCTTAATGAAAAAGGGGAAAGGCATTTCGATGATTGATTCGTCGATGTACACAACAGCGTTTTAGCTCGCGTGCTCTATTTAAAATTTCTTTTTCTTAATATTAATATATTTTTGAAAAACATCTCATCGAATAGTTTGTATAGGTATATGATTTTACATGTCCTTTTTACGCGCGTTTAGTCTGTCTGACGCGTCGATTTTCTACAATACATATCTTAAACTTGCGATGAAAGACATTTGTATAAGTATGCGTGCAAACGTTAGATGTTAAGGAATTCGCGTTATTTTATGTCTGTTAAGTTTTGATGATTCTATCTTTTCTCTTAACTTTTATTATTATAACGTCTCCTTATGCACGAACAAAGCGCATCTGAATCAAACGAAAAATACAATTTGACAATTTTATATGTGCAGATTAGTATTGACGTTTTTAAAGTGCTAATATTGTTTGTTTTCTAATATTTTCAATTTTAATAAATTAAAATAACAAGGCTAAGGAACCAAGCCAGTTGTTAGTGCTTCCCAATGTTTATAAAAATAAAATTTAGTTCCTTAGCCTTGTTACTTTAATTTATTTGAATTTATTCGTTAGAACCTTTATCAAAATTTATTTGAAATTTTCAATTTTGTTTACTTTTTTTTTTTTCATTTTTGTTAAATTGTGACTTAAGAATGAAGGATTTTGTTGTTTAGTGCAATCTGTTAATTTGAATACTCTGTTTTATTTTTTTTGATGTATGATGATAAGTTTAATCGACTGTTACATTCTAATATGCAGCATTTAAACTACCTCCTTCTGATGATATTATAATTAAGTGAACTTACTTATTGTGTAAATGCTTAATTTTAATTTATGTAATATATTTTCAAATATCTACTGCAACAGCTTCTAAGTGTTTGATGATACAAAAATTTGCACATAACGCTTATCATTTTTCTGCATCCGTTTCTGTTCGAACTTACATTAATCCTCACCGTTTATAAATCCTGACCGTTACCTTCAATGTGATATACGTACATCCTGCAAGCTGTGAACGATTGATGCTAAAACGTGTTTGCTTGGGAATGATTAATTTTATATAACAAATCCACACGAGCGAATACACTCTGAAAAGTACCAACCTACGTCGTTTTTCAAAAGGTAAAGTATCTGTGTTTCTTTATCTCGCTTTTCATATTTTATAAAGTACGATAATACATAATTGACAGCTATCTAGGCTTAGTGGGATTAATTTCAATCCTTTGGCTTACAGATTGCTTGGTAATTATATATCAATTATGTCATTACTGTTGCCTACAGATTCGATTATATTATTATTGCAACGATCTCTCTTCACGTTTCGAATAAACCGTTATTTATGTTCTAGGAGAGAATACCGTAAACGGCGATCACTCGGACGCTCATCACAGTACTTTTTCGCAAAGTAGCAAGGAGGTTTGTCGCAATACTTTTAATATCAAAGTCATCGCACACCATATATCATATGCGGGGAATCGGGAATTAATTTTTTACACGTTTTATTATTTATATTTAGAACAATTCTTACATGTTCACACACAAATAAATTTAGTTTACTATTTTTTTTTATTGTTGGCTCTAGATTCGCTCTTTAAAATACTGATCTTGTATAAATCTCCGCATATGTACGTCGGGTTTCTTTCACATATTGTATATCACATTACGTCATATTTCTCATGCATTCGTTAACACATGGGAATGCTATTTTAATCGAATGTGGAATAAGATATTTCTCGATTTATACTGTTATAAGAGATATAGATCGTGTCTAATTCGAGCGAATTGTCGCTTCTCGCATTAATTTTCACGATACAACCGGGGCATACTTAGTCGTTCATAGATTCGCCTTCCACAAACTTTTCTATTGTATCGATTTGCATGCGACCAGATAATTGGCTAATAGAAACGATTAAGCGTGAAAGTTCGACGCTCTATGCATGTGCATGCAGAAAAGGTTTATGGTTACGGTTGGGACCTTCCGTGTTAAGGGTTCCATGTCGCAGGATGTGAGCGTTAGCGAGGAATCGCCAAAGAAGGAAAAGAAGAAGAAGAAGGGCCTTAGGACGCCATCCTTCCTTAAAAAGAAGAAAGAAAAGAAGAAGTCGGTCGAGGCGTAGGTAGTCGTAGCTCAGGTAAGCGATTCAATCGATCTGTCTTTTAGATTTTGATATCGACGTAAAGAATATTTATACTTGCGAACAAATATATTCACGGATCTATTAAACGTCGTTATCTTTATCTTATGAACGTTAGTATGCTTGTGCTAAAGCGTTTCTTATAATCTATGATCTACAAATCGATCATACGATCGAGCGAGTCGCTATTTCTTCTTTCAGATCTTTCCACTCTTATAATATCGACTGCTATTTGATTTATAATTTTGAAGAGTACTGCCGTTTTCCAATATAAATAATGAAAAATTTCAGCAACTCGCTCGCTCGCTCAATCGATCGTCCCCAGTCGACGTGGTTAATTTGTTGATCCCGAGTGTTACTCATTGAAGGTATGGAAGAAAAATCAAAGCTTTTCCTTTTTAGAAACTAGACGCGCTCGCGCTAAATTTCAATCATATGGCTGCAGCAAAGATCAAGTCGTGTTTTTTGATAGAATTACATTCGCGTAAATAAATAATAAAATATGTATAACAATACGAAACATGTGTAGTGAGATATCGAATGATATATAAAATTGACCTTGAATTAATATATATATTTCCAGACACTGCCACAAGCAAAAGCTTCTCGTAAAAATTAAAACGAACATGCAAGTTTAAACTCAAGATCGGATATGAGCTCGGTTTAAAATAAAGGACGAGATTCGACGAGTAACGAAGAAACGAAGAAACACAGACGAATGGCGGAAGATAAAACGGAGATGGATGGAGGAATGCGCGAAGAAAAATCGAAGTGAACGAGCAACAATCAGCATCTTTCCAGGACTCAAGACTGCCATCGCATTACGTCTACGATAAGGAAACTATATTGTACTGTTAATGTTTTTACGTTTTTAATTTGTTAAGCGTCGCGCTAATGTATTTAATCCGCTATTTAATTTTGCCTCTCCTATCCCGTTTGTGTGTAACGCAATAAAGAGTTACATATGCATACTTTGCAACGAAGAAAGACAAACAGAAAGATAGAGAGAAAGCGAGGCGTCACATCGTTATTGCCGATTTTATTATTTTATTCGCCAATGCCGACGCCGTTGCCGTTGTCTTCGTCGTCATCGTCCTCTTTCTGCTCGTCGTTGTCGGTATCGACACCAACGTCATCGTCGTTGTCGTCGTCGTCATCATTATCGTCGTCGTCGTCGCTGCCGCCGTCGTGGTCTTCGTTATTATCATTACCATCATCGTTATCATTATCGTTATCATCCATTGCCGCCATCGCCATTATCATAGTCATCTTCGTCGTCGTTGTCGACGTTGTTGCTATTATGGTCATCGTTGCTATTTGCTTCTACTGTATTTTTTTCCTCTATCTCAAGATTGTCTTAATTCTTTTAATTGTAACTGGTAATTTCTAGATTAGGAAAAAAATTTCGTATGGTATCCCTCTCTTAAAACGGAGGGATGGTAATAGTTCACGGCGCGTAAACTTTGCGCGAATGTTGATCGAATATGAAACATATTTTATCTCTTGAACGATTCGTGGATTTACTAGGCGATGCTGGATCAGCTTGATCGCGAAGGAAAAAGGAAGTAGAAGTGAATGCGAAAGGCTGTGTTCTAAATTTTGAAGCTGGCGTGCGAAAGAAATGCGTTGCGAGAATACGGATCTCACGACTGTCCTCTTGTATCAAAAGCATCTCGGACAATAGAAATCGCCTGACTCCCGGACTGATGTACTCGTCTTCGTGATATGTATAAAGTAATTTGTGCCGTACGATAGCCCATCGATTACGATTGTTACCGAGTTGAAAACTTTATTACAAACTGTCTATCGATTGGCGCTTATATCGACATAATATTTTATGTCAACTGAATAAAAAAAATAGTAATACTGAGAGTAAGTCATGCCCCACGACGACATTCATCAGCTTGTATTGTTGTCAAATTCAAACAATCGGTAAAGTATATTAGGTATGTCTATTAAAAGGATGTAAAGTAGATTCAGAGTGAAACTGAAGTGAAAACGAAGTATGGCGACGTGTGCTTTCACGAAATTTTCAATTTTTATCTATCTATTCGACCTAACGAAATAGTTTAAACATTTCGGAGTTTATTATGCTAAATATTTGTTGTACATACAAAAGTGCAAAACCGTATAATAATTTTTGTTTTTTATTTCTCTTTTTATAGATGAATTGTTCATTGATATGTAAAAACGTGCCTTTCGTACCTTCGTCAGTCTTATACGATTAGTCTTTAGCATTCGATTGTTTCAATCTTTACCGTATCTATACAAATGATTTATAATTGATCGTTTGATTTGGTCGTCACGCGTCATTTGCTGTTGAATAACATCTTTTCGCAGTAATTTCAACAAGTCGAACTTGGTTGGACCAAGTAAGCAAGAATATCTTTCCTAGAGTCGTGTTGTCACTAATTAAATTAAATAAGAAATTATTTAAAGAGAGAGCAATCGAAACCGCGATATAAAACGTTGTAGTTATTCGTGATTAATTTCTGACTTGTTGAAGCTGTCGAGTAATGTTGTTCAAATTGATAATTCGAGCACTAATGATTATGTTTTTTATCCTTAATTGATGATCGACCACTTATATGGCGCTTATACAACATCGTGTGTTTTGTACAAATAAAGTCGACGTTATATCTATATATAACATATGTATGTATATCTGCTGCGTACGTATATCTGCGTATAACACAGATTCGTGCTATACGTAGAACCGATCGAGTATATATGTATTGAAACGGGGAGGATATATAGTGCTGATTTAACAGTTTGAGCATTATGAATCATTCATGCTCGAAGTGGCTGGAAGGACAAGCATAAAGAATAATGAGAACGAAATAAAGCGCACATGCACATTAGATTGCAAATTTTTTGTTTTTATCGAATGCATGCGCGAGATGAAAATTTTAATACATATATATATATATATATGATATATATATTTTTTTTTTAACATTTTATTTGGCATTGTTTTGATCGAGATTGATGTACGTTGCAGACGACCGTGATTATTATTTGCACTATTATTTTTTAGTTTATTATCAAAATATTCTATTAATATTATCACTACTATTATAGTTTTACGTATTATTAAGGTCAACGCTATTACCATCGCTGCATTATACATATATTGTATCTAAAAAGTGAAACAAATTGCGAGCTGAGCTCGTGATGCAATCGAATTTGCACGTCGTGCTTTCGCCCTCTAACAACGATTCATCGCGAGATCACACGTGCTTCATCGATTTGAAACTATGACACATCTGTGAATGAAGAAATATATTCGCCCATATATACTTTCTTCTCGCCTCCTCTCCCCTTCATCCTTCATTCTATTCATTATATTCACGTATCATGTAATGATCGATAATAATTGTATGATCGAAGACGTATATTAATGCAATCTATTATTGTATAATGGTTGATATAATATATAAATAATATTACAACAAAATACACGAGAAAGTATTTTTAGATGTGCTTATATTTCTCAGTAGTTATTTCTTTGAGCCAAATATCAAGTGACAGATTGTTGTAAGGAATCGAATACGTTGCTCTTGTCCACGAGGATCGCAGGTCGGGATCGAATAAAGTAAGAGAAGCAGTGGGTAAATAGAAGTTAACGCAGTGTGGATTGCTTCGGATTGCGTTACAAAATCAGGCAAAATTCGCAATAAGCGACAAGTGGCAAGAGTCATATAGTCATGTATAAATATACGAAAAGATCGATTGATACAGTATATTACGCAGGGATCTCGATCTAATCTTTAGTATTCTTCCGTAGGATCTCCTTCGCCATCGGTGGAGTCCATGCCGACTTCCTCGTAATCCTTCTCCAAAGCGGCGAGATCCTCCCGCGCCTCCGAGAACTCACCCTCTTCCATCCCTTCGCCGACGTACCAATGCACGAAGGCTCGCTTTGCGTACATCAGATCGAATTTGTGATCGAGCCGCGCCCAGGCCTCGGCGATCGCCGTCGTATTGGATAACATGCAGACGGCGCGCTGAACCTTGGCGAGATCACCGCCGGGAACGACGGTAGGCGGTTGATAATTGATGCCGACCTTGAATCCTGTGGGACACCAATCGACAAATTGGATGCTGCGCTTGGTCTTGATAGTTGCGATCGCCGCGTTAACGTCCTTCGGCACTACGTCGCCTCTATAGAGCATGCAACATGCCATGTACTTTCCGTGACGAGGGTCGCACTTGACCATCTGATTTGCGGGCTCGAAGCAGGCGTTTGTTATCTCGGCAACGGAGAGTTGCTCGTGATAGGCCTTTTCCGCGGATATGACGGGAGCGTAGGTGACCAGAGGGAAGTGGATTCTGGGATAGGGCACCAGGTTCGTTTGAAATTCTGTCAGATCGACGTTGAGCGCGCCGTCGAAGCGCAGCGAGGCAGTGATCGAGGATACGATCTGGCCGATCAGGCGATTCAAATTAGTATAAGTTGGTCGTTCGATGTCCAGATTACGTCTGCAAATATCGTATATGGCCTCGTTATCCACCATGAACGCGCAGTCGGAGTGCTCGAGGGTGGTGTGCGTCGTGAGAATCGAGTTATACGGCTCGACAACGGCTGTAGAGACCTGCGGCGCCGGATAAATCGCAAATTCGAGTTTCGACTTTTTCCCATAATCCACCGACAGCCGTTCCATCAATAGAGACGTGAAGCCAGAACCGGTACCACCGCCGAACGAGTGGAAAATCAAAAAGCCTTGGAGTCCCGTGCATTGATCCGCCAGCTTGCGAATGCGGTCCAAGACAAGGTCCACTATCTCCTTGCCGATCGTATAGTGGCCGCGTGCATAATTGTTGGCAGCATCCTCTTTGCCGGTTATCAGCTGCTCCGGATGGAAGAGTTGCCGGTACGTGCCTGTACGCACCTCATCTAAAAGATTAACAAGAAGAACATCGGTAGATGAAATTCCAGTTATATGGCTATCCAGTTATTTGTCTTGGAAATGATTATAAATATCGTCTTGCTCTTACCCACGACGGTCGGCTCGAGATCGACGAAGACCGCTCTAGGCACATGCTTCCCGGCGCCAGTCTCGCTGAAGAAGGTATTGAAACTGTCGTCACCGCCTCCGAGTATCTTGTCTGACGGCATTTGCCCATCGGGTTGAATACCGTGCTCCAAACAGTACAGCTCCCAGCAGGCATTTCCGATTTGCACTCCCGCCTGCCCCACGTGGACGGATATGCATTCACGCTACAAACGATATATTGCGCAATTACTTAATTGCAGTCTGCGACAACAAAAACCTTTGTTTTTCATTGAAATCCACTTTACAATCCTACATCTGTAATTTGATTTATAATTTATTATACACCCCAGTGAGAAATGACAGAGTGGAATCGACGTCGAATCGATGTCGATTTCATTATCATTTCTCACTGGGATATAAATAAGTTGCCTGTATTAAACCTATATAGCTTCTCGATTGTTACTTAATACTTTGATATAATATTATTATCTATTATCGTGTCTTATAAATAAGTACATTATTTACGCGTTGATAATCGCGGAAGCTCCTATATTACTTGTATTCACAGATTTATTCTTTGGAGACACAAAGCTATTTTTATTTTAATTTATAATTTAAATCTATAATATAAATAACTGTGACAAAATTTGAGTTATAACTTTATATGCGCTTGATGATATGTGTAAAGGATATTTGAAGAATTAGAACACATATATACACCTACAATACAAGCACTTATACATGATACGTAGGATGTTCCAAGGTTATTAGCAAAGATCGAATGAGTATAGAAATCGAATACGGTCTTGTAAAAATTTTTCTTCACGACGCTGTTAAGGCAAGCTCGGGCAAGATATTCGCTGCAGCGGAGCTTGTCGCATTGCGTCGTGTGAATTTTTGTTTCTAAAAGTAGCAGCAACGTAATGCAACTGCGGACATCACTTGCGCCAATACTCGTTTCATCTTCAGATAAGATTCGCTGTGCTCCACGCGGCCAAAACTTTTTTAATAAATTAGAAAAAAATATAATTAAATTTTATGAAACGATTGTAGGTAATAATAGAAGGCTGTACACGGGTTGTATTCTCCAATGGTTTTTCTTCCAAAAACAGAACATGTACTTATTTGCGATTAGATGCATTAGGATATCGGGTCTTACTTGGTAAATATACCTACTATAATTAACACAGACTCAATTATAATATCGATATTATAATTTCTCATCCAATAATATAAATGTAATATAACTCGTGTTATATATAAGTAATAATTATACATTATTGAGTATTTTATGACTGATGTATAATACATATATATAATTATAATTATAAATGATGTAATATATTACTGTCAATTGGTGTTTGATTCGAAGGATCGCCTATAGAGATGAAAATGACCGAAAAAAAAAACTAGAAACTTTGAATAAAAAACTCAATAAAAAGCAGTTTTTTTTACTGACATCAGTTCATCTCTAATGCCGCCTATAAGTCAATATCAATAAAAGATTCAACGCGATTCTTGCTAACAGCTGCGTTCAGCAGGAAAAGCAGAGAATTGCGTTACAAAATTGTTGTAAGAATCGTTAATATGGTTTCTATACACTTTTAGATTCAATGAGGAACTATAAAAGGCAAGAACAATCGTATTAGAAAATTTTGCAATACGTTGATATTGGCCGTGTGGGTTGCAATCGACGAGAACCATTTCAAAAGAAGAAAACAGAAATGTTTTACAAGAGATATTGATTTCCTCACCATGTTGAAGAACGATAAAACGAAGACCCGCGCGAGATCTGCTTGCTGGGTGTGCTAACAATGATACGCTGCGATGTCGCTGATGCGTCCAATCTCGACTGCAGCCGTTTGAGCGGAGTTGGCGATGGAACTCCCTCGAACGATCTTGATCTGACTGAGCGCCTACCGGGAACGATCGGTCTCTTATAGCTTCGGTGCGTACACCTCGATTTACGCCCGTGTGTCGCCCGTCCCAGGAACATGCCGCCTATGTCTATATGACGCCGATCGTCACCACTCGTCACGCTTATCCGACTATGTAGGGTCATGAGGTTGCGTAACTCACGCTGACTGACGCTCGCGGCCGATCCGCGCTGGAGCGAACATTCCTCAATCCTTTCCCCCCTTTTTTGCCCGATTGTAATAATATGACTTTGAACCTGCAACGAGTACAATGCGTCTGTTATAGAATATAGTACACGTCCTCGCTTCGATACTGCTGAAGATTTCATTCTTGAACTGCGATTCGTCGCTTATTTCCTCGGGGTCCTTGTTTTCGCAACGTGGAGACGCTAAATAAAAGTGGCTAAAACAAACCAAGAGGACTCGCACGATTGAGTCTGGGATTGTCTGGGGCGATTTAGACTTCTATGTAGAGACAGTTTTAGAGACAGCATTGCAAATATATATATATATATATATATATATCGTGGAGACGTGGAGAGCGACGAACTCTGTGTATATATGTATAGCTGCGTTAAACACGTGAACGTGTATACGCGCGTGTACTTCCGTCCTAGAATAGCCGCGCTGCGTCCTTACTCCTTACACTCGCATGTACCCGTTTCACTTACTGCATCCGTTGAATGGCAGAAATCCTTCTGCAAGGCCGAAACAGCGAATGGGAATCTATCGGTGAGGAAATCGGAAAAAAAATATCCCGTAGAAAACAATGTAATTAACAGCAATATGTATATGTCCGCAGTACTTAATTTTATTCAACAATTGTTATGTCGTTTTATCCTTCTTGATATTCTATAAATATCAAGAAGGATAAAACGACATTATTTATAGTATCTACTAGGTCTCTTAAAAGAAAAGCAGCGGCCATAATATTATATTAATAATCTATAATATAGTTATACTGTCATTAATATATATATATATATATATGTGTGTGTGTTTCGCGCGCGCAATATTTTATAAGAAAAAAAAATAGAGTTAATATAGCTCGTTAAAGTTTGCTACGACTTTCAGTCAAATAACTGCTTGTTGACGACAGCAATAGTCTATATATGACAGACTTGTAAAAATAAGGCAATCTAGCTATTATAATCCCGATATCACGATGTATATATTATAGATATGATAAGAACTTGATTCGTGTGTTCCTCTCGTGCCCCTTAAGAGTGATTTCAACTAAAGTGAAGTAAAGAATGTTTTCGGATTTCTCTGTCCACCATAATATGAAATATCAGGATACAATCGCCGTGTATATACTATATGCAATTAGGATTATTACGTGTTATAGGATTGAATGGAGTTAAACAGCAAGGTAACTAGGTTGAATGTCTCTAAGTGGCCTTAGCTTCTTCTTTTTCTTAATTTTTGCTCATTCATTGCTCATCGATTTGCTTTATTAAATTCCAGCAAATATAAATGGATTGAAATGGATTAAAATGGATTCAGATTTTCAGAAATACGAATTTATGGATGTTAAAATGAATCCTTTTCAATCCTGAATACATTTTTATTCATTTATAGGAATTGTACGAAGCATATCTGTATATGCCTTTCAATCTAAAAATAATATCAGCTTTTTCAGTGCATCGTATACTGTTCAATTCAAAATTTTGAATAGGAAATGCTGCAGTTTTTTAATCCAATTCAATTGAATCCAAAAAAAAGTTTTCACTGTTTAAAATACGCATTCAAAAAAACAAAATGTCCAACTCATTTTAATTCATTCTTGTTTGCTGGGATGTTTGTAATAAAATAAAAGTACTATCGTATGCATGTTTTACGAATATGACAAATTGATCCTATTTTTTCCTTTCATTTATTACACTACAAGCAAAAGCGTCTGTATTTAAAAGTCACTATCAACGTCATCTATGTCAAATTATCGCAAACTATAAAATTCACGATTACCTTTAGCCGGTAATTCTGATTTGGTTACAAAGTATGTTCTATGAAAGGCCAGAGAAGAACGCTGACATTATCGACAATTGACATAAATCTGTTATTATTAATACACTGGATAATACTGGATAATATTGTTAAATTCATGATTTTTATTACTGCAGAAATAAGTATGAATACTTGTAGTATTATAATATCTTATATATATATATATATTGCCGTAAAATTCTATTCTTTTTCTGCAGTTACCATATCTGTTGATAAACTTGGACGATATATAACGTTATAAAATCACAATTTTAAAGAAAGATCGAACATCATTGAGTTTTAAATGTACGTCACGTCTACGAAACTAACAAAACATAAAATAAGTGTATATTATAAGTGTTTTACTCATAAATCACTTATAAATATTAACAGGAACGCCGCAACTCCCGTAAGAATGTCAATCTTTAACAGTATCTCGGTGCTTAGAAGTTCATGGGCCCATGGCACAAAATGACAAAAACTTAGAGCAATAAGATGTAAGCGCAGTAAGGAAATCGTAACATTGTGGATTCGCTATTGGCCTTACGGTCTCTGCAGTGATTAGCCAATTTGCTTACTGCTTATACGTCTTACTGCCTCTGAGATATTCCCGGATACTCCTGCGGTAGTCCTGTCCTGGTCGAGCTCTCGAGCACTCTCGAGGTATACCGTATAGGTATAAATCACTGTGGAAACGACAATTGCGAGCTTCGCCTCGCTCCTTCCTCTTCGCTTTCCACGACCTGGCGTTCGCTTTCTCTCCTTCTCTTTTGCTTTGCTCTTCTTCTTCCTCTCTATTCTTAACCGTCTTTAGAGCGACCGTAGCTCTCAACAGTGGTGCTCCGATTTTTCCTGTCAAAATAAAAACTTCATAAATTGCGATCTCGCGTACACCTTCCCAAACGACAGATTGCTATCTACAATAAGCAGAAGATTTATATTTGAAATGCATATACATATGTTAGAGAGAAAAAGTAATTTAAATAAAAATATCGATTTTCGAATTTAATTCGACCGAGGAATTAATAAACAATTCAAATAATTTTGAATTGACATTCAGTTTTCATCCTACGTGAATGTTTTATCGTTAGTTACATTTCTCGTGAAAATTTTTGAATAAAAGCAAATAGAATAAATATTTGTTCGTTCCAGAAAATTCTGATTTTACTATATGAGTTATTTCGAAAATCATCGTTTACAATGCCGTTTCCAAATATTATACATTCTTCATTACGACTACCTGTGCTGCTCTTTCCTTTATCACGAGCTTTCTCGGTTTCTAGCAGCCCTCTAATATCTCGAGCGGTTCACAAGTTTCACAACCGGATTTTAGACGCCTCTAACATTCGCCGTGCGATGTTTACCACGGAGGTTTGCGGTAAGAGAATAACACGTTCGAGATCAAAGGAGCATCAATAAAGAATGCATCCTAAAAAAGAAACGCCACGAAAAATATACGTGTCCCTCGCAGATATACATTTGCGTTACAGCGAAGCTGTAAGCGAAACAAGCGAAGCCAGGGAATAAGTTGGAAAGAAAAGGAACATTTCCTGTCAATAACGTTAAAAATTCAAACTAAATAATTCAATTTCCTTTTGTGGGCGCTCGAAAGTTCAAACCAGAAATCCCATTAATAAAAACGCAACGAGTTGTTGTGTTACGTAAAATATAATAAGAGGTGAATTTCCTCAAATGACTTATTTATTCCGTCTAAATAACAATATCAGAACGTTTCGACTCACTTTGGAGTCTTCCTGATCAGCTAATGCAAAATTTAACGTTCTTCCTTTGTATTCATACTGTAAGATTAAAACTCAGCTAAAAAAAAAAATTCAAAGAGCTGATATTATCATTTGGATTGCAGGACGAAATTCGTCTACGTCTTCTGTTATTATTTAATTTTAAATTTTCATGCGATTTGACGAAATGACGCCACCTTTTGAAAACGAACCATCGCTACGCTATAGCTTTTCTCTCAAGATCACTCAAGATGCTGCGGAGAGAAAGATAAAGGAAAGATGAAGTTCAAGGTCACGCACACGCTCGCTCCTCGTTGTTGCGCAACACAATCGGCGCTCTGTACCTAAGAGTCCACCGACAATATGCGTGATATCGCGAATATCCGAAGTACAATAACGTGTACACGTCGTAAAAGAATCGCCACAAAGGGTCTTATAGCGTACAAAAAGGCATCGCCTGCAGACATCTTTCGAATTGCATTCTCTTTTGTCTTTTCTGGAGAATCTCGGAAACAATTCTCCACAATTCTGGATTTCTATGGACAAATTCTCTCTCTCTCTTCGTAAAATCCATTTCTCCATCAAATTTTAAACGTAAAAAATAATAAGCGTCTTTCCTCTCATGTTTTATTTGTAGAAAAAACGAAAAACAGAAATATTTAGGAAGAAGAAATAAATTCTTCGCCAAGCGGCAAGAAATATATGCTCTTGTATTTTCATTTTTTGTCAATTGTGATAGAAAAGGTCCGTGTTTATATCAAGTTAAAAAAATCTGTTATTCCTTCGATGTTAAACATTGCAGAGTTTTTCCTATACAAATTAAATCAAAATAATAAACATGATACTTCCAATAATACATATTTTCCAAGTGTATATAAAGATTAACGTACGATGAAAAATTCTTTGGACTACTCAGGTAATTTATTTATTTCAGATAAGAGAAGAGGATATTCTTAACCGTCGTTAAAGCTCCTTGATTCTGAAGCAGTGGTGCTCAGATTTTTAAAAATCGACGCTCCGAAATACGACCACAGATAACAAAAATTCGGTGCTTTATTTTGCGGGCGGTCTTAATATACCCGCGACATTCATACATAGGGACGCGACTTTTTTTACGAGCTGATAAAAGAAGAATCCAGTATTCATCTCGCTGATTCGCGGAAGCGTAGCGAGCGAACGCGTTTTACTCAAGAACACGGCATCGCCTTCCGGTATATATGCGTGTCGCCTCTCGTAACAGCAAAGCGAGAGAGAAAGAGAGAACATTTTTACCACCGCTTTCAGGCTGCTGTCCAGAAACGTCTCTTCGCTTCGTTCTCTTCCCTTCGAAAATCGCATCTTTCTTTGTTGTGATTCCCCCGGACGCCTTGGGAAAAAGCGTCCCTTCTCTCGTCCCTCCTTAAGGGCCTCACGGGATGGTAACTGCCTGCCTGCGAGCAAGATACAGAAAGGGAGGGAGATAATCCAGGACCACGGAACGAAGAGAGACCGATGAAGCGAACGGGGGTGAGGGAAGAAGAAAGGGAGACAGAGAGAGAGAGAGAGAGAGAGAACGGGGCCCCTTCTCCGAGAATGCCCCTACTACGAGTGAGGCCGCTAATGCCATACCCGTCGGACGCATCACTCCGCTTTCCGGCTTCGTCGACGACGGTGTTTGGTGTCTCTTTCGACGAGGACGAGGAAAATTTCCGTGCGGGGGAAGTCGGTCCTGCGAAGAGGAGCGTCTCCACAGGAAGAGGAAGTCCAGCGAGGGGGATCCAGCAACGTGGGATCGATCCGATATACGCCCGTCCAGCGGCCCTGGATGGGTTTGAATTCAGTCCACGTTTCACGATTATATGCGTGACTAGATCCACACTCATCCAAGGATACTGGACCTGTGCTGAGGCGAGGAGGGCGCGTGCGCGCGCGCGCGAGCGCTCGCTCGCTCGCTTGGACCGCCAACACACCTGTTCTTCTCTTCTCCCGAGTCGAGGCTTCTGGGAAGAGTGATATCGCGAGGTAAATGAGGGAGCGGATTGAAAGGATAAAGAGCGAACGAGAGAGAGAGAGAGAGAGAGAGAGATAGATAGATAGAGGGGGAGGGCGGAGGGGGCTTCGCAGCGGCATCACGAGGTAACGGTCGCAGGCGCGAGGTCGCGATTTCTCACGGATCTCTTCCATCGCGTAGATTCGAAACCGGTATAATAATCTCGGCGCGCGCAATCGCCGCCGGAGTCGAGACACGGTGCCTAATGGCGTCGATGCGACCGCGTCTCGGAAGACGTTCTAGTTCTCGGGAATATACACTCCGAGAAGACCATCTCGCTCGCGAGGGTAAACTCGGCGTCGGAGATCGAAGACTAGACGGAAATTTATACCGGTTTCGGAATCACGCTCTCGAAACTCGTCGCCCTCGTGTGCGCCACTCGAAGCCCGCGCGAACGTTCCGCTTCTGTCACGCGCTTAGAGGTACGACCAGGTGCGACCCTGTGTGAGAGGCAAACAACTTTCGTTTAAGATCAACTCATTGTCACAATAAAATCGCAGCGTCGGCTGCATTTATTTGTCTCTAATTTAATATTTAAAGCCCCAAGTCGCGCCTCACGCGCCTCTTCATCGTCGACCTGTCCTTTGTCTATCCCAAGTTTTGCAACGGGCGCTCTTCTGCTCTTGTCTCACGATTGTATTAAGGACGAGACGCGTCCACGTGCATGTATTATTCGATCGCGAAACGCGAACGCTGACGAAACTCGATGCATTCCTGAGTGCCGGAGCCAATGGCCGTGGGATTCCCTTTCAGTTTCTTTGTGTGTGAACACCTGCCGCGCTTTCCCCTCCAGTCTTCTCCCCCTTTTACCACGGCAGCGGCAACAATCCTGCCCTTAACTCCCCCCCTCCTCCTTCTTCTCTTCTTTCGTCCACCGTCTTCCCGCCACCATCCTTCCCGAATAACGGTAAAAACTCGTCCGTACCCCCGAACACGAGCGAGATTTCCTTCTCTCTATATACTCCAATGAAAAATTTCAAAATCCTACCCTCGCAATTACGCTCTTTAATAATCGGATTACAATGTATACTCCATTTTCATTTGTTTATATTACTTTACCTTTGGATAAATTAAAGATAGATGTACATTATATATAATATATATATATCATACAGAATTTTTATACAATGTGTACAATATACATATATATACACACATTGTATAAAATTTGTATGTGTGTGTGTGTGTGTGTGTGTTTTGTGTAAAATTGTTAATTCTTTTATACTATGATACGAATCATATGTTTGTCGTAAAATAAAAAATATCACAATTTCGTTTGTTTAAATTGTTTAGAGATATTTAGAACTTGACACCCTTTCGGTAATGCGAGTTTTACTATATAGGCGCAAATCACTCGACTTCTATGACTATGAAAATAACGTGAAAGAGAAATACCTTTTGCACGATACAATATCCAAATCTATATTGACAACGATAATACGCTCACTAGATCGCAGACTACCTTCTTAAGCTAGTAGACACCTTTTTTCCTTCATGTCGATAACAAGTCGAAAGAATTGCGTCAATAATTTATAACAAAGGCTTCAGCATTCGTGGCAGGTTATCGCGAAGACCGTTGATCTTTGCGGACTAACGTATAGTTAAAGGCAATATTGACAAGATCGTTGAACAGCAGCACGGATTTCTTCAGTTTTCTTCAGTCTCTACAATCTGTATCAAGTACTTTGAGATTCTAGGCTCAATTGCGCTATACGGGGATGGTCCTCCTGATTGTCCGTATCTCCCCGTGACATATCCGGATCCGATCGGATCTCTTCCAACGCTTGCTTGATCTGCGCCTGTAGCTGTCCGGCTACTTTGCGCACCGCCGTGTGATTCTGCTTGATCTGCTTCGCATAGGAGAGCATGCCATCCCACGGGGCTACGCTCGTATGCGCGAGATACAGTTCCTTCCATAATTGAATACTGATAGGTGCAACACTCGGCCAAATCACTCCCGGATTAGGCTCGTATAACGGATTTATCCATTGTTCCAAAATATCCGGTTGATTCATGTACGACCATAAACTATAAGTCCGCTCAGATAACCGTAATTTTATTCTTTCCGCTTCAGAATCACCTGATAAATGGAAAATACATATTATGATGATAGCAATAATAAAGAAATAGAAATCTTAACAAATATATACAATTATAAATGATGTAGAATTAATAAAAAATATATAATTAGTATTTCACGTACCTAAAAATGTACCATAGTTCGAGGAATAGGCGTGTTTGTACAATTTTACGAGTAAATCCGCGGTATACTCGAAGCTAAATTGAAATTGATGATGCAGCTGGTATAGGCAATCAAGGAAAAGCAGAAAAGTTGGCGCGTGTGTCGGATTTTGCGAATTTGAAGGCTGATAGGCTCCACAGCGGGTCCGGCTGAAAAATTGATGGCCGGCTTGTAGCCATTCACGCTCTACGAGTGCTTCGAGTCCTCGTACTGTCCGACAATCAGGATTTAGTATTGCTTGGGCCAAACTAGTTACCACCAATGTAGAATCCCTACCCGTGCTGCCTATAAATTACGAAATATTATTACACGATTGATATTCCGAAGAAATGAATAGATGAACGCAACTTTTACAACACTATTAAATATTTACATTATTAATATCTATTTGATAGAATACATCTACACACCATGCACCAGCACTGCCGCTGCTTCTTGATGCAGGCATTGCGCCGTGACACAGGCAGCATTTAAAGCGCTCTGTACAGCGGTTAACCATCCGCTATTATCCAATTTCGACAGCCATTGCGACGTGGAACAGTTGACATCGTTGCAAGTTTCTATTAATTTATAGAAACTATCGGCTAATTCGTGTGGTCGAAGAACTGGTTTGTGCACTTTCCGCCATTGCGGATAAGCCGCGTCCATTTCTGTGCCACCGCCTCTGGCTCTGGCACCTTGTGCCTGATTAACCGATCTTGTGTCTACTATGTAGCTATAAATAAAATTCAATGACTGTAATAAATAAAACAAAAAAAAAACGATATTTGCTATTTTTAAAAGCAGTATATTTACCCACGTCTTCCGGGACCTAGAACTGCATTTAACAGTTTTTCATCTTCTTTGCATCTTTTACCGGTAGCACCGCATAACGGCTGACTGCTTCTCAACAATATGCTCTGCAATAAAATAAAAGAGAAGTCACAGTTGAATAGATGTTATTTAATAATTTAAAGTAATAAATCTACTTTTTATTTCTGCAGACATTGGAACTTTCATTCTTGGTTTCGTCAAATATATATACTTATACAATTTATACATGTACATATATATATCACTTAAAATTCTAAAAATGTATAATAGTTCAACAAAATGAAATAATATTACTTACCCCTCCTTCGTGTCTGTAACATAAAACTGGGAATCTTCCACCATCTCGAAAGCCAGCTGAAGCTATTACAACTTTGTCATCTACTTGACGCGGTACTATAACTGCCGACGGATACGAAGTACAAACTTTGTAGTCCCTGTTCAAATAACTGATACGCCACTCATCCCCGTGAGCTGCTAACAATCTAGACCATTCAGAAACAGGTGCAAACGCTGTCCATCCATCTTCTATTTGTACCATGATACTATTAGTTGTCTGTGGTCGATAGAAGAATGGATATTGTAGAGTTTGGTCTGGAACGTAAGGGATAGAGTTTTTTCTCATTGACAAGCAATATATTAAAGTATCAATAAATTACCTAGTGATATCAGCTTCTCTATAGACAGTATGGCATTGATTAAATCGTTAGTAGAACCAATATCTAACTGAAGGATTTGGAAATCCTTGCACTTTAATATTATGCTACCACCCGAGCTTTGAGCATTTAGTTTCTTCTCTACGACGTCAATATTCCTGTTCATCAGCTGGTGAAAAGAAAAATTTGATGAAAATTTGAACTGATTGAAGGAGAAGAATGTACTTGAAAATAGTTAAAACTTTAATTTTTTAAATGTTTTTAAAAACTAGATTGCTTTTTTTTCAAAGTTAAAAGACACGAGGTAATGAGATCAGTTCTTTGTTGCTGCACTAGACTGCATCAAACTTTCTCTCTTGCTTTTGCTAAACTTCCACATACACACAAAACACACATTTTTAGAACATACGTCTTGTAGATATTGATCTTTATGACATTCCTTGGATGAAAAAAAGATATTTGCAGCAGTATTTTTTCCCTTAATGTATTAAAATGAATTATACGTCGAGAAATTTATTGATGCCTACCCAAAGCTCTTGTCCATCATCCTGCCTGGAGGACAAGATGAGGTGGTGACCGCTAATGCACAGCGTCCCATCCATGCACTTATTATTGCCATCGCTCTTATCGACCAATACAACATTGTCAACTTGCGGAATTAATATATTATCGCCAATGTGGTCGCCCATTATAGCCTTGGTTCCTCTCTACGTGGCAGCTGACGAGTTTATCGATAAAGTACAAACACTTTGACGGAATAACATAACCTAAACAGTCCGCTAATCCGTCGGACCGCCACAAGATTCTCGAGACATAATTCGCTTAGCTGATCTTTCGATATTTCCTTTGAAGTTCACACTTTAACGACGGATTCGACGACGTTTCCTATTTATCTCGATAATGACTAGATAGGTACAGTCACAGCTGGTTGTGCGACTTGTTTATTATCTACGCGGATCTATATACATATAATCCGCCCGCCGCCGCACCATTCAACTATCGCGAGCATCGCTTTGCTCGCGCGAGCGAGAGAGAAAAGAGGTTGGTCGAGAACCACGTGACCGTGATCACATAACCTATTGGATAACACGGTTAATTAAAGCTTAGAATTAAAGGCATTTAAAGGTAATGGCAGGTAAGGGTGACGATATGACAAAACAGAAGTTACCAAAGATACGCCAAAATATATACAGTGACGGTGCGACGACAGAATTTTGATCAGTTTTGATGTCTGACGGTATTTGTTATATTGCTATGTATGAATGAGAAAAACGTCTCGCACACGTTATACGATATCAAGGCAATTGATTGTTCACGATTGTCCATGATCGCAGTTCTTTGATTGATGCGCGAGCAAACAGGTTGATTTCGACAACGAGAACGTTGCCACGAAATCGAGGGAAATCCAGAGTATCTCTCACGAAGCTGCATCACGGGATGATAGCGTCACATTCGGATCATTGCTGCTTCCTGGAAGGAGACAAGTGGTACGTGCTTCTAAACAACCAATTAGCCTCACTCTATATGACCCGATATGACGTTTTGTTCTAGGCTTTCTACAGTTTCTGTAATAAGTCGTTATCCAAGTTTTAAGTTTTAAGGTTTTTTAAGTGAGCTTATAAAGAAATTGACCAATCATAGCCGATTATTCTTCTCAAATTCGACCGTGACTGGTTAATTTCTTACTGCTCGAGATTTCAAACTCAAGTAATGGCTTATTTATGTAGAATGTGTTCACGCGCAACGTAATATTGTATGCTTTCCTTTTAGAGGACACACTCAACACAAACATCATTCTATCTTTACCATTCGTTGAATGTCAAGAAGAATAGAACGACGTTTGTGTCGAGTGTGTCCTCTAAAAGAAAAGTATACACTGTTATATTATTTGTTGCTTTATTTTATCTGCTGTTTTATTTTCATAAATGCTTTGTGATCGGGACAAATCTAATAGAAATATGTATTCGTTTCCTGTGCTGACAGCTCCATTGTCGCGAAAAAATCGCCAGGAATCGCGACGATTGACAGTTGTTTTCTTCATCAGCAAGGACAGACGACGTCGCGAAGGTAGAAACGGGATGGAAGATAGCGGCGCGACAGAGTATCACGTGACCACGATTGACCGAGATGGTATCCGTGCCGTGCTTTGTGGAGCTCCGTCAACGGCGTCAACTCCGTGAGCGTGAGAGACACCCTCATCGACTGGTGGCGCCACCGACAGCAACCAAGGCTGGCATCGCTGGCATTCCACGAAGAGAGGAAGGCAGGCACAAGACAAGCTTTCTTGAGCTTTCTCGTGTGGACTGTGGGATCGATCTGTATCGAGCTACAAGTACTCGGAATACCACGAGAGTAGAGTCGAGTCAGTAATTGATTTGATTGATTCTGTGATGTTGCATTTATTAACGTTAGTGATCTGCTAGGCTGCGTTATTGGCTGGCAGTCCGTTTTCAAGGGTGATCAAGTGCAATCAGGAACACAAAAGCCTCGTATTCTGATATCTCTTAACGAGGAAAGGACCTGTTTGACTCCTTTGATACATTCAGATGTATTCACGTACACTTTGGCAGTGCTTTTTACAATATTAATCACATCGAGAATGCTAATGTTTTGTGGGAAATCAAAAGGAGAATCTGTTCAGATAATAGGATCTCAGCCATTTGGATTCCCGAATTATCACTAGTATGCAGCAGTTCTTATCCTTATAGGTAATCTCGTAGACATAAAAATAATATTACCTAAATACGAGAAGTGCCACTTGACGGTCAAAGTTAGATATGTTAAACTAATACATATATAGGTATTATATATTCTTTAAATGAATTTATCTCACCATTAACACTTTTCATTGGACTGCCTCCAATTTGGCTCATGTAGTGATTTTATTTAGTATTTGGAATGTGTATATGTGTAGAATTATATGTAGAACAGAAATTATAAGCTGAATTAATTATTTAAAATTATGATAAATTTTTTTTCAGAGAAAATTTAGGGAAAATCTGTAAATCGTGTTATAAGCTATAAATTGAGTGGACCACCAATTTTGTCCTTTTTTTGTCCTTGTCATAATCTTGCAGGAAAAATTTGTACTTTGTGTTCAAAAATTGTGTTGTTTTGTAAGGTGTGCTATACCATGATATAAAAAATATCTTTGTTTTAATCATCTTTTCTTTGAAAGAAAAGATAGTTTTCACTTCTGCAAACAATATATTCATTAAATGACCAAAAAATTGTTTATAGTATTATAGATCTGTTTTCTGTAGCTCAACTAGTGTACATTGTTAAAACTTAAAGTGAGACAGGCATATGTTTGATATTTGTTGAAAGCGAGAAAGAAAGTTCTAGTGCAATCTAGCAGGAACAGAAAACAGACCATATGTAAGATAATTTTACTTAAAATACTATATATATTATTCAATATATATATTCAATACTTATTATACTTACAATATTATTCAATACTTATGGTATTAAGCTTATATGAGGATTTACAAATTTTCTAATTTTTACCAAAAGAGAAAACTAACGATTCACCATAACTTTGAATAATTTATTCAGTACATAATTTCTTTTCCATGTGATACATTCCATAAATACTAAATAAAAAACATACATGAAGGCGGCTCAATGAAAAGTGTCAATAGTCAAAAATCTAATTGCGAGCCATTACTATTGGACTTTCGACACAATTCATCTGAAGTATTAATAATTTCTCTAAATTGACGACAAATATTATCTCGGCCATACTGGTATTAAAACTGTAGGTTCCATATGCTTGTGGCGTAATTAATCAGTGTGCAGACACCACAAGCATATGAGAGAGAGGTGTAACATAGACTAGAGGCCTAAAGTAACAGAAAAATGAAGAAAAAGAAGAAGAAGACTGTGAATACCAATGAATACCAGCAAAAAGAAAAGCAGCATACTTATGTATGGATCTATTAGTGTACAAATTAATTCTCGGCCCCTATCTTTTAGCTACTCAGAACCCGTTTAAGTTAAATTTCTTCCCTCTCCTGTAGTCATTTTGAAGTGCCATCTTTTAGCTTTATACTTGATCCTTCTGTGAACATAACCTGAAAGATCAGCAGTAAACACGATGTCGTTCAAAAAACAACGTTTAAGGCACTGCCTTATTTTCACATTTCATCTTAAAAAAAACGCGGCTGAGGCAAAAGAAATGATTTGTTCGGCTTTGGGCGAGAATGCTGTATCGTACAGTACGTGTAAAAGATGGTTTCAACAGTTTCGAGAGGGAAATTTTGACATTGAGGATCGTGAACGTTCTGGTAAACCAAAAAAAGTGGAAGACATGGAGTTGGAGGAAATTTTGAACGAGACTTCTTATCAAACGCAATTAGAACTTGCAAATACGCTTGGAGTAACACAGCAAGACGTTTCTTATCGCCTAAAACAGCTGGGCAAACAAATAAATGTCAAAGTTAGTTAAAAAAAAGGCCGAGAATTAATTTGTAAATCTAATATATAAGATGGCATATCTATGTTAAAGGCTACACTACAGACTTTTGCATAGTACATATAGTGTATAAGAGAATCAACCAATCAGAATAGTTTTTTTCCTTGCATGGAAAAGAGGAACTTTATTGAATGAATCTTTTACTTTGTTTTATGTAAAAGTGTGTGCTGTAGCTTTAAGGATACTTTTTTCGGTAAATCAATTAGATGCTTTCTGTCGAAGGTGATGACCAACATGGCGTCCAATGAGAGCAGCAAAGGTTTGAGAAAATCTCCCACCGCAGACAAAATAAATTCGACGATAGAGTTAAAAACGGACGATGCAAAATCAAAAACAGACGATGCAAAATCGATTGCTTCACCATCTGTTGATCAGCATGATGAGCTGAACAACACAGCTGCTGATACAAAAGAAAAGAATTTAACATCAGACACAACTGGTGATTGTACAAGCGTGGAGAAAAATGATTCCGATAATATCAAAAGTGAAAACGAAGATTTAAAATCATTGGTAATTGATAAGCAGGACACTACTAAGACGGATAAGAAACAAGAAACACAAAATGTAGATTCCCTCGACAAACTTGAAAGTTCAGATAAAGAAAAGGAAGTTAGGAGAGACAGCGTAGATAGCAAGAATTCTGTAAAAAAAGGAGAAAATTTGAAAAGAAAACGAAGAACTATAAAGTTAGTTTATATTGTGTATTACAGTCTTATTGAAAGTTTATATAAGCATTGTGTGTGTGTGCGTGCGTGCGTGCGTGCGTGCGCGCGCGCACGCGCGCGTGTGTATAATGATATTAAAAGAAGAACATTGATATTTCCAGTAAATCGACGATGGTGGAAACTTCTAATTCTCCAATGGAGGAAAGTGGTACCAGAGGTAAGAAGAAGAAATTAAAGACTGGCTATGATCGATTTTGTTGGCGATGTCACAAGGAGAATGTTGACGCCTGCTGCACTGCCTGTCCTCGTTCGTATCATCGTAAATGTATAGGAGGCATGCCGTCATCTTTGGACAAATGGATATGTGGGGAATGTGTAACCATTTTGAAAGCAGAAAATGCTGAGACATGTTCCGTAGCCATGGCGCAATTGTCCGTCGATCAATTGTGCATGTTGCTCAAGCATGTGGTTGAAAGGTTACGCGACTATCCTGGCGTATGTATATCCTCTTTTTATTGACAATGTTACAGTGTTACGTTATTATAATTTACATTTAGTCTTGATTATTAATTTTTTATTCTTGATACAGTCTGAGCCATTTTGCAAAGCGGTGGATATCGCGGAAGTGCCAAACTACTTGGAATATGTTATCAAACCGATGGACTTGAGTCTTTTAGAATCAAATGTGCGGTCTAAGCTTTACGGTAGTACCGATGCGTTTATGGCTGATGCAAAATGGATTCAACACAACTGCATCGTGTTTAATACATGTACGTAAATTTGGTGTACTTTCAAATTCATGATTCTAAATCATGAGTGTTAAAGTTGAATAGATTAGATAAATAATAATCACTCATCTCTTTTATTGATATCTATAGGCGGTGGTGTTTACGCAGATACGTCGAAACTGACAAACGCAGCGAAGCAGATCATTAAAGTAGCACGTCAGGAAATCTCAGAAATTGACGCGTGTCCCGATTGTTATGCCCATGGTCGAAATTTGCCAAGGCCTCAACCTTCGTGGTTTATTGAACCCTGCCGTCGACCGCATCCACTTGTGTGGGCGAAACTAAAAGGTTTTCCGTTTTGGCCGGCAAAAGCGATGCCTCGCACGAATTCTCAAGGATACGTGGATGTGCGTTTTTTCGGTGAACACGACCGCGCCTGGGTGTCACCGAAGGATCTCTACTTGTACTCTGAAGAGCCACCAGCACCATCTCCTCGTAAACGGAAATCTGATATGGATGAGTGCGTAAAAGAAATTACTCGACATTGTAGAAAACTTGCGCTTATGTTTGGCCAGTTTAAATTTGCTCCACCCAAAATTCAGTATGACCCGAATAATCCGTTGCAGATACGGCTGATGTTACCGAATTACAATCCCCTCGAACCCAAGAATCATCTTCCTAATCCCAAAGTTTCCACATCTCCAAAGAAAAAATTGCCACAGAAAAGACAAAATTCCCTCAAAGGTAAATCACAGAATGACGAATTGACTAATATTATTAGTGAAAAAGATATTGACTCGATAAGTGATGCTTGTGAAAAAGAGAATGAAGCGACATCGCCAAAAGTACAAAAATTAGATATCGATGTTAAGAATACTTCAAGCTCGCAAACTGATCTAAATAGTAGTAATAAGTTAAATAAGAAAGCAGATCGAGGAAACGTAAAGTCAACCCCTCAAGAAGTTGCTAAAAATAAAATGGTAAAAAATGGAAAATCGAGTAATGCGAAGACATCAACGTCTCGATTAAATGTTGTGCGTACGGAAACTGGTGCCGAAAATAGTAGCACAAGTCCTAATATCTCAAATAATAGCACAAGTTCTAATGCTAATATTTCAAATAATAGCATAAATCCTAATACTAGTGCAAATGAGAGCAATTTGCAGAAATCGAAAAATGAAGTGAAATCGTTTATAAAAATTTTGCCTAAGCCTGCGAATTATTCAGTTACTGATACGGTAGCTCAGAAGAAAACCCTTTTGAAAAATATTATCAATCCTAAAATGACATTCTCACAAATGGACAATTCAAAGGTGATAACAAAGTACACAAGAAACAGTAAAGCCTTTAAGCCGAAGACGAGAATTGTTGATAAACTAAACGCGGAGAAAGAATTGATGTCTCTATCCGCTAACAAAGAAGATGAGAAATTGTCGAATTCAAGCAAAGGCATCCCTAGAATGTCACTATTGAGCAATAATAAAGAATCATTGAATGTAAAAAACATATCTGAAATCGATGTAACTTCATCGTCTACATCAAATGCGAGTGTCACTCATACCATTACATCGACGAATTCAGTCGTTCCTATAACGGATAAATCTGTGTTGCTCCTCGTGGTTCCCAATGGGAAATCTACTGAGTCCACGAAACAGGTTGCGTCGACGATCAACTTCAATCAAGGCAAAAACGAGGGACATAATTCTCCTCAAAAGGCTAAAAAGAGTTTCCCTAGATCACCTAATTCAAAAAATATTCAATATACGTCGAATACGAACGCAGATGGAATTATGCAGATTTCTCCGATTGGCCAAGAATCACCATCCACATATCAACTGCTGCCTCCGGAGGCCGGGCCGATCAGCGCACGTTTGCATCATGATGCGCATGAACTTGCGAGGAAAATGGGCCATTTAATGGAAGAGGCATACAAGGAGGCAGCTCAGAACAGTATTAATGGCGAGAACACTGACAATTATCAGGCGACCATATTTTTCCTGCGAAAGCAGATTGAATATATGAAGTGGCAGCATCAGCAACAGCTAGCTGAATTGAAACACAACGCCGGTATACCTGTCTTTTCTTTCTTGCAAAAAAAATTTTATTTAACAATTAGCTATTAATCTACCATTAATGTAAAAATACTTTAGGAAACGTTACAAATTTTAGATCGTACTCTACGTGAGATGCGCGCGAGTATGGAAGCGGAAAAATTGCGATCGATCGAGGAAGTTCGTAAAGAAGTTGAAGATGACAAAATTCGATGTATCGAGGAGACCAAGAAGAAACAATGGTGTGCTAAATGTGGACAACAAGCAATGTTTTATTGTTGCTGGAATACTGCTTACTGTAATTATCCATGCCAGGAGTCACATTGGCCCACACACATGCAGTCATGTTCTCAGCAATCTGGATGTGCTACTATTGTCAGCTCGAGTGCAAATTTGAATTCACAGCAGGTAAGACAGATTTATGTTAAATGTTAATCACGTTATTTTGAACTTTAAAATGTTAATCACATTACTTTGAACTTTAAAAGCCTAGAGTGAATTAGTGAATGTAAGACCTAGCGATCTATAATAGAAAATACTTCGAAAATACTACAATAGAATGTTATTCTAATTTTGAAAAACTTTCCTTACTCGTTTAATTTTTTTCTTAAATAAAAATTAAAATATTTACGATATAAAGAAATTAGAATATATGGATAAGACAAACAGTTATGTTTTAGACGCTTCAAAGCTAAATTTTGGTTTCAAATTGTATTTGCGTGTTGTACTGCAATAGTTTTGAAGTATGTATTTTATATTTTTCAGACCAATTACGTCATTGCAGAGAATTCCACGACCAAGACGTATCTTCTGTCATCCAATATGAAATTGAGTGCAATTCCGTCTGCTTCGTCCCTTAGAAATAAAACCAGTCAAGACGCGATGTAGATAAATAGCAATTTATTTATAACCGATTCGATATCAACGCGAGTAGGATGAAAAGAATTTCAATAATACTGCAGGTAAATTCATATCTGCAAACAATAGATATGTTTTGATTTAAACTGCAACATTTATCACTTATATAATCTGAAATCGTATCCTATTTAATATGTAACTAATTTTCTTTTTGGAAAATACTTTCAATTGCGTGATGTAAATATTCGTAACGCTGTCTTTATAATTTTCGACATTAGATCAATAACTAACATGTCACGAACAACACGAAGGTAACGCAAATCATTGATGTTTGTAATAAATTTATGGTACTTTAATTGATATTAAAAAGTGATAATTTAATAATTATAAAAAAAATATGAGAGATATATAATTAACTATCCTTAAAAAAAACGTTACACATATTGTTAGATATGGGGCGATAATTTTTTGTAATATAACAGTTATACATGTATCATGTTTAATGTATCGAACAAGAGGAACACCAGGTTTTATTTCCTGCGACTGGACTAAATATACATATATATATCAACTAATTTGTGTTAAGATTGTACGACGCACTTCTCAATCATTCGCGAAAAAAATTAAAAATTTACGTGCAATGTACTCATCAGTAAAAACGAGTTGGTAACTAAATGGCTTGGCACAATTAGACTGTATTCCGATATTTAGCACTAAACGTTACATGCACTACAGATTTTCAGCACTGGCAATAAATTTCGGGACACAGCTTCAGTAAGACATCTGCTTACAACGCTATAAGAGGAAGGAAAGGGAAAGGAGAATAGAGAATATCTAGGTCTTATTTTTATCATTTTTTTCATCTACATTGCAGCATATTGTGTGTGTATTTTTTAATATTTTACCTGAAAAATTAATTTTTAATATTTTACTTGAAAAGTTTATGTAATTTTATTTATTTATATTATTTTTATATTTATAGAGCCTTATATTAATTAGTTATTTATTTACTTATTATTAAATTGAAGATGAAATTAGAATGAAAGAAAAGAAAATTATACAAATTAAAAATAAATATATACATATAAACATTTGTTCATCATATACATAGTAATATATATAAAAAATAATATATAAAGTTATATTATCTATATTACATGTATATATATAATTATACAATATACTAATTATATTAGTTACATATAAATAATACTTATTCAATTCTTTTTGTTTAATTTTAAATTAAATTTAATAAATAATCAAAAAATTTGAATAAATAAAATTAATAAAAAATTGATTAAATAAAATTACATAAATAAACATTAATTTTTCAGACCAAATGTTAAAAAATATACATACACAATTAATACGCTGTAGATAAAAAGAAAATTATAAAATTAAAATTTGAACCAGAGATTTTCCACTGTAGTCAGCCTTTACTGTGATTATGCCATGCTGCTTATTTACCGACTCGTTTTTACTGATTAGATGACGAATATGTAAACGCGATTGCTTCAGAGACGCGTAGTATAATTTTAACAAGAATCAATTGGAGAACTGAGCTATTATACATAAATGTATATATAAAACCAATTCGGTTATATAGTATACAAAGTCAAATCGGTGGAAACAGAATCTGGTATTCGCCTTGTAAATATTGTAATAATCTACTTGTTTGGAATTTGATAACTACTTTTTTAACTTACACTAACTTCGCATAACTTCTCAGTTCCTCTACAGATAAAATTGAAAAACACGAGATATAAGAGATAAAAATTATTTTTTCAACATAGTTTCATGACAGTAAGCATAAACGGTATAAACACAACTCTGGCATAGGATAATCATCTTGTAAAATGTAAAGAACACAATAAGCATTTATTTCGGTTAAATCCGACATGTGTAGACACAAGTAATGTTCAATGCGTTTATTAATAAATGAAGTAAAAATATGCAGAAATTTATATCGAACATGCTTCTGAATGTGCCTTTTCCATCAAATTAAACGTCCAAACGACAAGCCATATTTAATTATTTTTTATCTTTAGCCTTCAAAGATAATTTTCTTTTTCAGATTAAATGCAATTTGTAATGCAATTTGTTTCGCAAAAGAAAGAAACATAGCTCCGCTTTGCAGCTGTGAAATAATTTGGGAATATTGGGAGAATCAAAAGTACAATGAATAACGATAGACACGTGGAAATGTTTAAAATCTCGCGCGTATGATGCAGCGATTATTGCGCCCAACATGGCGAACGGAAGTAGACGTCATCCAGTGCCAACTGCCAGCCAAACGGGGCTCTGTGGTGGTCGGGTTGCTCTTTCTATGGGAGGAAAAGCACTTTTCTCCGTCCCCGCGGCCTCCGTACGTTTTTTTTCATAGTGAGTACGTGAAACATACATCAACTACGAGAAAGCCTCTCTCTCCAGCTGTTACTTTTTAATCATTTTTAACGTAACGCGTGCAATTCTCCGAAAGATTGTCCGTCAATCTCGTGTTTTCTCACCGATTTGTGAGCAAAGAGAGAGACATCGAGAGAAGTTGATCGTGTATTGTCAGTAAACAAGAGAACGAGAGAGAAAGAGATAGACGGAGATCTGGTGAGAGCCGTTGTCTTGGCCAGTCTTGGCATAATAGATCAATCATATGGCGAGAGAAAGAGAGAGAGAGAGAGGAGAGGGAGAGAACAGCAAGTCGTCATAGATTCCACATCGCAATTCCGTTTTCCATTCCATTCCGGCTCGTCTGCACTTTTCTACACTTGTCGCGAGTAAAATTAAATATCTGTTTGTCTGATTAGACTGTCAGTGCGGAGTACACGAGGCCTCTAGGAAAGTGGAGAGAGGTGCAGCCGAGAGGAATCAGATCACCGGGTACGCGAATGTATGCGATGAGCTCGTCGACGTCGACGATGACGACAACCTCGCACCTCGCTGCCTATTAGAAAGTTCAAGGTTGCGAGGTCGTCGGATTTAAACAGTCAGTCGATCGAGTCACGTTGTTAGACTGTGATCTCACGTTAATTTGTTTTGCTATTGTTGCAGAGTCATTCGTTAGTTAACATACACGGAGCATAGTCGACGTCACGTAATCGCAGCTATAAATATGTTTATTTGGGATTGGTTCGCTGGAGTGCTGAATTATCTCGGTAGGTAGAACTTTTCTTCTTATTTATTAGTTGAATAGTAAGTTTGTTGTCTCTTAATCACTGCTCATACCAAGATGCAATCTTATTACAAATATTACAAATACAACTGGCTTCAGCAGAAAAAGCAGTTTTACAACTGTTGTAAAATGGTTTAATATAATGGTTTAGACAATTAGATCCAGCAAGGAATTAAGGGTGAAAACCAATCACACACATATTAAAGAATCTTGTGATACTTGCAAACTTGCTTTCACTGAATGCATTTACTGTCACGATAATATTATACTTGGAGTATTCAGAAGTGATAAATATAGTGTTAATGATAAAAGATTCTGTTATGTTAAAACAATTGTTTGGAACATAATATTGAAGTAATTTCGTTGAAAAGATAAAAACAATAATTGTAAAACGAGTCCTTTTACTCTGAATTATTTTTAAAAGAATATTTGTTAAATATGTATTCTTATCATATTTGTTATCTAAGTAGGTAGATTTATTTTAACAATTTATGGGTATTTGATACTATATATATTGAAATATATATCTTATTTCATATGATGTTTCTTCTTCTTATTATTATTATTTTCCTTGTTGTGTGGTCTCAGGACTGTGGAAGAAGAGTGGCAAGCTTCTCTTCCTAGGTTTGGATAATGCAGGCAAAACTACATTGCTTCATATGCTCAAAGATGATCGTTTAGCTCAACATGTACCTACATTACATCCAAGTAATTATACTTCTATATAAACTGTATATCTTCATTGCTGCAACAAATGAATAATGAAATCAAAGTTTCACTGAGTTATTAATCATCTCCTTGTTCCAGCATCTGAAGAATTGTCTATTGGAAATATGAGATTTACAACTTTTGATCTTGGTGGTCATACTCAAGGTATACAAGAAAAATATACGTCTTATGTTCCATGTTACCTGAATAGTTGCTTATACTTTTGCAAATTGTATCTCTGCAGCACGTCGCGTATGGAAGGACTATTTCCCAGCTGTCGATGCAATAGTGTTCCTCGTTGACGCAAGTGATAGAACAAGATTACCAGAATCAAAAACTGAGCTGGATGCATTGTTAACTGATGAGCAACTCAGCGTGTGTCCGGTTCTCGTGCTAGGCAATAAAATTGACAAACCATCCGCGGCTTCTGAAGATGAACTTCGAAACTTCTTTAATCTGTATGGACAAACAACAGGAAAGGTATCTCCGTGCAACTTGATGCTAATGATCCCTATATTAGTATAAGAACTACAGTAGTAGAGAGAGATACAATTTTTATCGGCTATTTATTAAGAGATATTGTAATCGAAAATTTTATAGGGTAAAGTTGCTCGCAACGAGATACCCGGCCGTCCGCTGGAACTATTTATGTGCTCGGTTCTGAAGCGACAGGGATACGGGGAAGGCTTCCGTTGGCTTGCGCAGTACATCGATTGAACGGACATATTATTATACTTGACAGATTCATCATTTTCCTTTCCTATGGTACTGGTAACACTACCGGAATCTTCACATGAATTCAACAATAGGAGAGGAAACATCGTTCATCGAAAAAGAAAAAAGAACAAGCAGTAACCGAAATTTAAGACAATTTTCATAAATAGAGACATGAGACGAATATTCTCGAGAATTTACGCGCAAGGGATAGGACAGATTTCCTTTCTTTGACGTTGGTATTCACGAGTCCATAAACGTCATCTTTTTTCAAATACTTGAAATCGTATACAGATTCTATGGAAGCCTATCACTTTGCGAGTCACATTAAAGGAATGATCATTAATACGTGCTGAAGAATGAAATAAAAACATTTTGATAAAATAAAACTAATAAAAACTATTTAAGAATTCCAAATGTTTTGTAGATTTATTTTTGGTGATTTATTTTTAGTGACGCGTCATACTAAAAGAGAAACAAATACACATAAATTACAATGCAGAGTAACGTATCGCACGCAATCGTATATGTCGTGGCTTTGGAAAATTGAGTTTGCAGTATGTAAAGTAAATTATGAAAGTTGGATTGATTCGTTAACTGGTACTTTCTCTTTTGTTCATTAATTTAAAATATCACAAGTCATTATTATAAGAATTACTGAATGACTTTACTAAATGCTGTTTTATATTTAGTCGCTGGTGTTTACTTTTATGTTATACTTTTTTATATATACTGTCTTGTGCCAATATTTTGTATATTCTTTGAAATTTATTATTTAGGAAATGTGCAAGGTATATACGAGTATAATTTCTTTTTTGACAATGATTACAAAAATCTAGCATATCGATTGAAATTATTAGATAGAACAATCATAACATTTTTATAGCTAATCATAGAATTGCATATCTAAATTATAGTTGATATATTGTTTAAAAAGTAGCATATATCATCTTTAATATTTTGGAACAATCTTCAATTCTTGATGATCTATAAATTAAGTTACTGTTGTAAGTTGATGTTCATAAATTATATAGAGAGGGAAAATTTTGTTAATTTGTTGGTTATGAATCTAGCTTATAATTCTGGAGTTGCTTCCAAAATAAAAATCAAAGTTACAAACACAAAAAAAATATATTACGTAATAGTACTTAAGTGTTGTAAGTACTTATGTTGTTTTTATTTTATACCAATAAAATATATACGTTGTTTTATATTTCACCCAATTATACATAAATGCGCCATTTACAAAATGGTTTTTGATAAACTGATTTATACTATAGTCTGTTGCAAGAAATTAAAAGAGATTAAATCTGAAAAAAGTTAATTTTTGAATTTTGATATAATATATCTATATAGATTTGTACAAAGTTAAATCTTTAGAAAGCTATTTTTTTATAACAATTATTTATATACATATATATCTATAGTATATAAAAAAATCTTAATTTCTATAGTTTGCTGATACAAAAAACTGCAATTCTTTCTCCACAGGAAGTACTGCAAATTGTTTATTTAAATATTCATTTGTTACATCAATTAAGAATGTCGGCTTCCATACTGGTTTCCGATCTTTGTCGATTAGAAGAGCTCTAACACCTGCAATCAAATTGAAATATTGATCCAAGAATAGGATTTGTTATACACGCTAAATTATATTTTAACCGTTTACCTTCATAGAAATCACCGTCTCTGGTCAAAGCGGTACAAGTCAATCTAAACTCAATCTTTAAACAATCAGCTAAGGATTTTCCTTTTCCTTCATCGATTGTTTTTTTGGTGATTTTGAGAGAAGTCGGAAACATTTTGAAGTAGTACATCTAAATTTTTGTTTGCCCAGTCTGAATTATCTTTCTTCAGTATTTGTACAACAAAATTATGCATTATTGTGTATTATAACTATTAGAAGTGAACATACATATTGATTCAACTTTTTGATATTTCTATTTCACCTTTCAATTATCTCTTCAACGGTTGGGGCAGAGAAACAATTTTCTATTTGTGACATATGAGGTGTCAAACTGAATTCATCATTTAATTTCAGTTGATATTCGTCTAAAACAGACTCAATGTCGACTTGACACAATGTTAACAAATCACGTTTCAAATCCATGAGTTTCTCTGATGGTACAAAATGCGTCGCGATCCCAGCAAGAAGAACGTTGATACCTTGATAAAATATGTATATCTTTATATACATATATATATATATGGGGCATTCCATGCCAAGTGGGCCACCCAATTCTTGGGCTTTCTCGTCGCAGCGCTCTTTTCGCTTGTCGTTAGTGAGCATGAAAGGCAATTTTGAAAATAAAGTGCAGACGTATTCTTATAGAAAATTGAACGCTCTTTCACGTAAGAATATTCTTTTTTTGACCAGACCGGTTTACGATGATGTTTTTCAGTTTTGAACTTTTCAAAATGGCGGCGCGACTAAAAAGCCGCTCTCAATTTTCAATTAATTTAGCTCAAAATGTAGCTCCAGGTCTCTACTTTGTTACTCTAAAAGGACTTAATGGCACACGCATTCGTTTAGGAGTAAGAGCTAGGAAAGTGAGGCAATGTCGCTCCGTCCCCCTGCCGCACCACTCATTTTCCTCACTTTCCTAGCTCTTACTTCCAAACGAATGCGTGTGCCATTAAGTCCTTTTAGAGTAACAAAGTAGAGACCTGGAGCTACATTTTGAGCTATATTAAAAGAAAATTGAGAGCGGCCTTTTAGGCGCACCGCCATTTTGAAAAGGTCGAAACTGAAAAACAACATTGTAAACCGATCTGATCAAAAAAAGAATATTCTTACGTGAAAGAGCGTTCAATTTTCTATAAGAATACGTCTGCACTTTATTTTCAAAATTGCCTTTCATGCCCACTAACGACAAGCGAAAAGAGCGCTGCAACGAGAAAGCCCAAAAATTGACTGTTCTACAGTTCGGTAACCAGTTGGCCTACAGGTATTTTATTTGGCATAGAGTCTTTATTCATCAAACTGTTCAAGTTCACGCAATATGAACGAAATCCATGGAACTTCGCAAAATGGGTGGCCAACTTGGCGTGGAATGCCCCATATATATAAATTTCAATATAATTGAAGTTGTATATATCTTTCAATTTGTACCCTGTCAGACCTAAATAGGTACCCAATTTGCCTCTCAATCTAGATAAAAAATAAGTCGCGCCAACATCAGGAAACAATCCTATTGCCGTTTCTGGAACAGCACAGTTTTTTTCGTGGCAATTCTGTATTTGCCAAATATAGCTAATCCAACGCCGGTTCCCATTATTATCCCATTGATGATAGCAACATAAGGTTTCTTATATGTTCCAATTAAATGATTTAAGCTAGAATTAAGCAGAGGGAAAAAAATTATATTTTGTACAACTACTGATGTATTTTATTTTCGAATAGACACCATTTTACGACTTACATACAGTTTTCTCTAAATAGTTGTTCAATTGGATAAAGCTGGTCTTTTGGTTCATTTAATAATACCAAGGCGAGCGATTTAACGTCACCGCTCGCGCAAAACGCTTTCTCACCCATACCTTCCATTATTACCAGTTTCTTTGAAGGTTCCCATTGCTTGAGAAAGGAATATATTTTTTGGGCCATGGATAAATTTATGGCATTTAATACCTTAGGTCGATTTAAAATTATCACGCCGTTATCACCAACCTTTTGGTGTATAATTTTTATACATAATTAATATCTTAATTCTAAATAAATATTAATAGCACATTCGAAAAAGATATTAAATTAAAGAACATATATCTTTTTCAAGGATCTCATCATCTGTAGTAATTGCTCGAGTACTGACTGTTTCTTCACCTTTAGATACTGAAATTGCAAAATTAATTTAAAGCAGCGGTTTGATTTACGGTTACAGGGTATATTTACAATACTAAATACATGTATAAAAGAAATATTTATAAAATTGATATTAAATATTTATGGTTTCGTGTTCAAATTTTAATAGTTTATACATTCTACAAAACTATATACATATATAGTATCATCTTTAATAGTATCTTATATGCAATTTATATTAACGATTAATATTTCTAAGATTATTTAGATTGGTCTTCCTTTCCGCGCAAATAAATGCTCACGCCGCGCGTTGCTCCATTTCCGAATTATGAGGTCTGTTCATGTTGCTTACACTTTTTGAATACAATAGATTTATTCTGTTTCGCTGTCTGTATCAGAGAGAAACCTGAGAGCGACCAGGGAGGCAGAACAACGTCCATTTTCGAGCTGCGGGAACAACGTACCACGTCCATTTTAGTGACCCGCCGTCTCGCCGATAAAATCGTAACGTCGAAAGTGGTCGTGGTTCGGGTCCGTGTTAAATTAGATAAAAACGATTTGATCAGTATAGGCCTGTTCTTTTTATCGAACTGGTACGCAGAGTGCAATAAGTTGAAGTGAAACAGATATACGTTTGTTTCATTTCAACTTATTGCACTGTATGTACCAGTTCAGACAGTGCAGGCAAAAAAAACAGGGGGCCTATTCTGTACACGCTTACCGACAACTGTCGGTGTCGTTAAGTAGCGATAACCAATGATATGGACTGTTCTACGAGAAAAGAGCGATTCTTATTGGCTATCGCTACTTAACGACACCGACAGTTGTCGGTAAGCGTGTACAGAATAGGCCCCCTGTTTGATTGGATATTTAATGGTCTGGTATTCGAATACTAAGATTTAATTTAGTTGAGTTTAAATTGTATCTAATCTAATATTTAAATTATTCAACTCGAGTCCAAACTTGAGCTCGAGAACTCAAAACCGTACTCGAGTCCGCGGACTCGAGTTCAGATTCGATTCTTTACTAAAATGAATACGAGTTACTCGATTCTCGAAATAAACGAGTTGTCGCATCACTA